ATAATCTATATAAAAATACAATAAGACAACAAAAACATAGTGTAATCTGTATAGAATATAATAAAAGTGGATATAAAAGAGCTGAAACCACTCACAATTTTTTGAGCCAATTAGAAGTTGGCTCAAAACTTATACAGCATACATGTCTCATTCATAGACAATGAATGTCCAGACTTTCAGGAACCAGGGATTTGGAGTAGAAAACTAAATTTCTTCCCTTGGCTAAATTCTCTGCTTATTATTCAGTCTCATATAATGAGATATCAAGTCAGGAACCAGAGGTAAGAAATATACTTAAAAAGTTTTATTTCTTAACAAAAATCGGAATAAAAATGCACAACGCGTTTCAACCACTACAGTGTGGTCTTCCTCAGGTGCTAGTCAACGTTGACTAGCACCTGAGGAATACCACACTGTAGTGGTTGAAACGTGTTGTGCACTTTTAAAGTATATTTCTTACCTCTGGTTCCTGACTTTTTTATCTCATTATATGAGACTGAATAATAAGCAGATAATTTATCCATGGGAAGAAATTTATTTTTCTACTCCAAATCCCTGATTCCTGAAAATCTGGAGATTCCATTCTAAAGAAAAACTCCATCAATGTCTATGAATGAGACATGTATGCTATATAAGTTTTGAGCCAACTTCTAATTGACGGTGGTTTCAGCTCTTTTATATCCACTTTTATTATATTCTATAAAGATTAAACTATGTTTTTGTTGTCTTATTGTATTTTTATATAGATTATATATACCACCATATACGTCCTGTTCAAGCATATACCAAGGTCATCTACTATTGGTTATCATAATTGTATATATTACAGGTAACCTTATTCTGGTATTGTGTGTGTGCTTTTACCTTTCATTTTTTCACTATACCACTGACAACTAGCTGATGCCCAGGGTAGACGAACTGCTGGATCGTATAGCCAGGGGACGTTATCTAACCACAATAGACCTATGTAAAGGCTATTGGCAGATTCCCCCGGCCGAGGATGCTATCCCCAAGTCGGCATTTGTTACCCCGTTTGGCCTGTACTAGTTTAGAGTCATGCCATTCGGCATGAAAAATGCCCCGGCTACCTTCCAACGTATGGTGGATAGGCTCCTCAATGGCTTCTAGGATTTTGCATGTGCATACCTGGACAACATTGCGATCCACAGTGAGTCTTGGGAAGAACACCTGGTTCATGTAGGGGTCGTTCTGGATAAGATTCAGGCCGCAGGCCTGTCCTTGAAGCCAGATAAGTGCCATGTAGGTATGGCTGAAGTGCAGTACTTGGGTCACAGAGTAGAGTGTGGGAACCAGAGACTAGAATCGGCCAAGGTAGAGGCGGTAGCTAACTGGCCCACACCCCGCACTAAGACCCAGGTACTAGCCTTCTTAGGGACTGCAGGGTACTACAGACGTTTTGTCCACGACTATAGTACAATAGCCAAGCCCACGACTGACCCGACTAAAAAGAATCTGCCTAGGCACGTCCTGTGGTCTCCAGCTTGTGAAGCCTCGTTCCAATCCCTCAAGCAAGCACTTGTTAATGCCCCTGTCTTCCAGCACTTAACCCAATTATCTCCAGGATAGAGAGGAGGGTTTGTAATGTTCATGTCGGAGTGTTTATCCATGTATCTGTGTCTGATTGGTTGATGTATAAACTTGTCCCAGTGTTATACAAGGTCCCTATGGGAGTGTCCCTTGCTGGAAGACCTGCATAAAAGACGGGCAGTAAGCCCACATTAAACAGATCCTGCTTGACCCTCAATACAGAGCCTCGTCTCATACATGGGGAGATTATTCGTGTGTTTCCTGTTCGGTATTTAGAAGTGTTCGGTAGCTGACTTCTCATTCGGGAAAGGGAACATCTTTGGCAGCGTTAACCCCTTTTATACCCGGGGCGCCGTTACACTCCCTCCCTCCTTTTAATCCCTTTACAATCACCTCCTCCTGGTACACCCCCTCCCCGTAACCCCTCACCATCACCCTCCTCCCAGTATACCCCCTTCCTCCCAGTAACCCTCACTATCACCACCTCCCAAAGTAGTATACCCCCATCCTCCCTTCCAGGCACCAGTATACCCCTCACTATCACCCCACCTGTGCATGCACCCTCCCAGTAACTCTTCACTATCACCCCTTCCCAGTATACCCTCCCTAGCAACCCTTCTGCTCATCACTTCCAGTATGCCCCTCAGAGGTTTGTTTGCCCAGTGGCTTTAATTCAAATACTATCACCCACCTCAGTGTATACTCCCTACCCCCCTGTAACCCCTTCACTATCATCCCTGCATATCCCTGTAACCCCTTCACTATCACCCCCCTCCCAGTATACCCCGTAGGTTTATTGTCTATTTAATTAAAATATCACCCCCTCCCAGTATACTCCCTACCTCCTTGTAACCCCTTCACTAGTAATCCCCTCAGTAATCCCACCAGTAATCCCCTCACTATCACCCCCCTCCCAGTATACCTCCTCCCAGTAACCCCCTCACTATCACCCCTCCCTCCCAGGCACCATTACCTGACTATCACCTCCCTTCAAGTATACCCTCTCCCTCCCAGTAACCTCCTCACTATCACCCCACTCCCAGTATACCCCCTACCTTTCAGTAACCCCTTCACTATCACCCCCTTCCCAGTATACCCACTCCCAGTAACCCTCTAACTATCACCCCCTCCCAGTATACCTCCTCCCGCCCATTAACCCCTTCACTATCACCACCTCCCAGTATAACCTCTCCTTCCCAGTAACCCCCTCACAATCACCCCCTCCCTGTATACCCCCTGTATACCCCCTGTATACCCCCTCACTATCACCCTCCCAGTATACCCAGTAACTCTGAATGTCACCCTCCAAAAATTCTCCCCAAGCTAATAACCCCCACTATCACCCTACTCCCAGTACCCTCCCAGTAACCCTTTCACGCTCATCACCCCACCCAAGCGTTCCCTCCCAGTAACCCCTTCACTATCACCCCACTACCTGTATACCCCCTCCCAGTAACCCATCAACTATCACCCCACTCCCAGATAACCCCCCTCCCAATAACCCCTTCACTATCACCCCTTCCCAGTATAACCCCTCCTCACGCCACTACCCACATTTACCCTTTACCCTAAAACTGTGATACTCACCCCAGCTCAACTATGCCACACTTACCTTGTCACATTAACCCCTTCAAGCCTGTCACACTTGTTCCTCTTACCATGCCACTATTGCCCTGACACACTTACCTCCACTCTCCCTGTCTCACTCCCTCATCAAACCATGTCATACTCACCCTCCCTCATTCTCTCTCACAACCCCCCACCCTGTCCCATTTGCCTCTTTCATCCTGCCACACTCTCCCTGCCACTGATTGTAGCAGATGGTATTACAGCTGTCCTAAAAGACTGTGTTAAAAATGCAATTTGTGTGTTTATTTTCCTGTATAGCTAAAAGTGTATGTAGTATTCGTATGATTGTTCGGTAGTTTTCATCAGTATTCCATGTGAATGAAAACTACTGAACCAGTAGACCACCCCAGAGAGACATGTGCACCCTATTAGGCTTTCACACGTCTCTAACCGCAGGTTAATTGGTACAATCTTTACTTTGTGCATGTACCTGCGTTCGGCATATGCACGAAAACCTCAGCAGTTTTGGTCGTCGAGTGTCTGGAACTCAAAATCGGACACTCAATTACCCGAACACCGCTGAGACCTCCAGAGCTCTGTAACTCCCGAACGGAAGGGCTAATCAGCCCGTCGTTCGGTGAGTTAAAAGTACCAAATAAAGGTATTCATGCGAATACAGTTTTAATAGTGGATGTCATGTATTTCTGTGTATTTTACCTCCCAAACGGAGACCGACCGCAGGGCCAAATTGTCTCTTCCACCTAACTGCCGAACCCCTGGTCTGATCTGGGTGAATTTTGGATATGTTGGTCACCCAGATCAGGGCTACCAGGGGGTGCCACTTAGCTCATTGTACCTAACTGTTTTGGGGTACATCCAGAATTCGGGGAAAACTACAGTACGTTTAATGGGATTATGTGTCACACTGAGGGGAGGAGATGTGTGGGAGGTAACTGTTACATTATTGGCTACTGTCTTAATTATGGTGAATCCCTCCCTTGCATGGGAGAATGCTTTAAAAGGAGGTTGTGTGGATTAAAAGTCAGTTCTGCTCCTGATGCTGTGTGTCGTCCAGTCATTGGGACCTGTATGGGAATATTCATGGATTACATTGCTTGCTGGGATTATTACTCTATGGTATTTTATTGCTTGTTCCTGAGCCTCACTGGGATATTTAGTGGAGTTGACCTGTGAAAGACCAACTCTCCGCTACACTGATACCCTTTATTCATTCTGTCACAGTCACCAGCTGAAGACACACTTTATTATTTGGTAATTTATTTTTAAAAGCTTTTTTGCGCAAACAAAGTTTTCATTTTTTTTTATAACCCCTTTACACCAATACTTATGTATACACGACTGCCAGGCTATGCAACCATACCCCACAATCATGTATAAAAGATTGCAAATTAAATTTATTTATTGCAAATTATGCTACAACTACAGCCAGAGAGCTCACAGTGCAGGGGCACAGGAAACCATGACACTGCAAGCTTCTGAACAATGAATGCAGAGACTGACTCTGTATCCAGCGCTGCATGGCCACCTTTTATATATATAGCGAATGCTCCTTACACACACAAAATACAACCCTATTATTTTATACTTTGGGTCTAGAGTCACCTCTGTGCACCACCTTACATTTAATATTTCAATACAACTTTCTGTATCATGCAAGAGAGTGATGGCTGTGATATGATGGCAGTGGTATGTTGGCACAATGTGTGTAAAGGAAGTTGGGACACAGTCCTACTGGGGGATTTATGACTAAAATACAACCAGACTTTGACTTAGAGTGGCTACACAATAACTGCAAAAGTCACGTAATGTAACGTAATGCACATAGAAGGGGTACACAGGGTGAAAGATGGGAAGAGAAAAGCTCAGGAACGCATAGAAGATGAGACACAAGCCCGGAAAACAAACTGAGGAACAGACTGGACAGGGTGGCTGTAAATGGAAAGATAGACTAGGGTGGATGCCCTAGTCAATGGTTCGGTAACTGCTTCTAGATTTCTCATGGAGCCCTGGGAATCCATGTCTGCATTATCTCATAACTTTAAGAGAACATGCCAATGTTTATTTGTACACTCTGTTGTCATACTGACCCATTTAAAAGGAGTAATTATCCCACAAATTTGAGCTACATATAACTAATGATGGCCAATGAGGACTAAAACCTATGTTGTAGGTTTATTGTCTGTTTAATTAAAAGGAGATTACAGTGGAAAATTTCTCTATTATATTGCTTCAGTGAAACTGCATCCTGAATTCAGTCCCTCTGTATACATAAAGTGTTCTTACACTTACCTGGCAAATGAATCCTGTAGAAGAGCACTGTCTAACCCAGAGGCTGAATTTTCTCTTTTTTCTTTTGCGCAATTCCCGTTCTGTGCAGCTAGCAATGAATACTGGATCTTCATCAATTAAAGGCTCATGTAGCACCTAATAAACAAATAAGTACAAATTATTTTGTATCTTAAAGGATTCTATTTTTACCTCAAATGTTGAATAATGCATAAGTAACTTTTCAATTCTTCTCAAATTAAAACAATGAATGACAAGGGAAAAACAACAGAAGGAATCTTTCGAAATGTGAGAACAAAGGTCAGATAAACCTAATGCAGTATTCCATTAAAATGAATATTATAGTCACAAACAATGAAACAAGGTTTGTTGTTGACCTAAAGAATAAATTTTTTCATCTGAATGTTGTCTGTATTTTTAATATGACTTTAGCAAAAAGGCCATCTTTTTAGACATTTGGTGGATATTGTTTTTTGATTTTTTTTTTTCATGTACATTTATTTTAAAAATTCTTTATTTTTCTTGTGCATAGGGAAAACAGTACAGTGTTAAACACGCAAATGAGGATTATCGACATCAGCTGGACCAGCTCCATCCCGATTGGCTGTGAGTCAATTTGGGAGGAGCAAACCAGGCTTTTTAAACCCAGGACTTGGTAGAATTGTCAGACACACACTGAATAACCCTGAGGAAGGGTAAAAGAACACCGGTTTTCCTGTGTTTTACTGATTGCCTTCACAACAGATTTCTGGGTGCTGGAGGTTGTATACAGAATTTCACATGAGAGTAAAGAAACTGTGATGTGCTTTTACTTTTTAATTATTGTGAATGCATAAAATAAAGTGTTCTTTTTGGTGTTATACAGTGTTGCACTATGTCTTTTGTTTCTTCTCTCATAACAAGCACAGAAGTTGGGAAGTAGAGAAGAAATATTATTACACTAGCTATTATCTGGTGTTTTTTGGTCTGTACCATTTGTGGCCCTTTCTGATTTTATTTTGTAGGTTTTTTATTTCTCTATGTATATGTATATTCAGAAGATTTGAGGAATCTTCTAAACATCTACTATTTTATAGCATAACGTATTTTCATAATTACCCCCTTTTTAACCACTGGTGTTTTATATTGCATAAGGGGTTTTTGCTTATAAGGGGTTTATGTTTTGCTTATTCCAGTGTTAAACATGGCATCTCTTAATGACAGGAGAATTGACAAATACTTCAATATGAGCATGCCTACGAATCTGCACATTTTTTGTTAACTAAAATCACGCATAAAGCAACATTAAACAGAGCTGATTAATTTCCAGAGAAGGCCCCCATATTGCTCATATATGATGGAAAGATAAGGGTAACTAGACAATCAAATTAAAGTCGGCAGTGAAAGTATGTAAGCAAATAAATCTTACACGTGTATAGCTCCCCTTTGTAGGCCATGTAATAGAGAGGTGAGTGGCCTAAAGCCCTTAATAGCTCAGTCCAGGCGCCCAATTAATCTATGCCCTCCGAGGGCATAACACAGTCCTGGAACTGGAAATCATCCTCAAGGCCTCTGAACCCATATACAATCCGGCGGACCCTGTCATTTGCCAAGATCGGGTTTCCCGGGTGGTACTTTAGACTTCCTATAAGTCACAGTTTTGGACCGCGTTGGTTATTGCCTCTGCACTGCCAGGTACTTAAGCTAAGAGCTCTGCTTGTTCTGCCACCATTTTGGGGCCTCCTTCACTGCCAGAACCACAGGTTCCCACCGGGGTCTTGGTGGCGATACTTGGGGTGTGTGGTCACTCGACTGTTGTAGGGCGCTTTGAAGCATCCTGCTTTCAAGCTTCTGCCAGAATTTATTAGCTGGGTCATGACAGTAGGTACTGTAATGTTAAGGCTGTTGGAACACGTGGCCTCCACTTGCCCTTATGGTTTCACCCCATGGTCCTGTTAGGTCAAGGTAGCCTCCCAGGAGTGGACCGGGATCAGCCCCACCATCAGTGGCCAGTCAGCTCTGAAATGGAAGATCGGCCACCTCTTCAGCCCAGAACTTGTAGGCCACAGATACCGATCAGGTATTTTTCTTGTGAAAGTCCACTTGTTTGGGCACTGTGTTGTACCTGTCTGCCTAGTAAACAATATATGTCGATTGGTAGCTTTTGTCTGTAGATATTCCAGCAATATTTACTGGAGGAGCTGCAGTATCTGAGATCTGCTCTGCTCAGCAGTCAGGCCCCACCCCCTGGCGGACATTGTTTTAAGATGTCCTTGTAATTTTACTTTTTTCTTTTATTATTTTTTCTATTAAGTTATTCATTAGAGAAAAAAAACAAAAACAAACAAACTTGGTTTAGAGAGGAGCAAAAAAAAACAAGATCCACTACAAACATATTCTCAGTTTAGTGAAAGAGCCTTATCTACAGATAACCAATGAGATCAGTAGAAATCTTGTCAATACTGCAAAATGTGAATATGTGCAAAGTGCACAGAAACATGTATTATGGGAATGTGTATTTAATCTGCAGTAAATTATATTGTGCAAATAAGATCAGGCTATTGTTCTCACACATGTATCAAATGTTCAGAAATGCTCATCTAGCCAGTCGAACAGCAAGCCATACGTAATATTGTCACTTGTTTATTCAAAAGGTATGTCGTTTTTATTTCTACATAGCTCAGCTCTCATAGATGCATAGTATATGATTGTTAAGGATTGTGATACCTTTAAAAACAACTAATAAATCCCTAACCCAAATAATAGAGGGCTAAATGTGGTAAATGTAGTGCCAAAAGTGAAAATGTTAGGAAATAGCCAAAAATATTTTTTGCACATATCTGGCACTTACAAAGTTTACGATTTTACATGCTATTTAGAACTACTTAGAGGACTACCAGGCACTTTTCACGTTTACCACATTATAAATCATTGCTCATTTGACACTTAAACGTGGAAAACAGTGTTTTAATTTTTTTGGCACTTACCGCTTTTAGTCTTCAATACTCCAGACACACTAATAATTGGCAAAAGGCATAGGTACAGTTTTATTAAGTGTAAACTCATCGTGTCAGCATATATAAATGTTGCACCAGCCGTTAATCAGTAAAGCTGCACACAGTTCCCCCGTTAACAGCCAAGAGTGAATGTTCCCTTTGCTCCTTCAATCAGACACAGCTCCCAAATGCCCACTTCTACAATGTCTGTCCTTAAATCCTGTGCTGGCAAGGCACATTGTGCCACAATTGGACCAGTGCTCTAATCTAAGCCTGTGCGGCCCTCCTACAGCACTCTTAATACCAGACTGAAGTTAATCCTGAATATATAGAGACCTATGGGGGTCAAATGAATAGCATCCCACCGCATGAGATTTGCATTATGCTCTTCCAGCTCAAAGTGCCTAACCACAATTCCACTCAACTTAGAAACTAATTTTGGAAACTGCCAACCCAGCGAACTCCCCCCAGGCTGGTTGAGAAATTATCTAAGTTGATTCTGCCAAACAAAGCAAAGCAATAAGCCAGCTCCTGTTTATGGAGTGTATCAGATCAATGGCTCTAACTCTACCCAGGTCACTCTCATCTGCATGCACAACTAAGACAATTTGACCTCAAACAACATTCAGAAAAAAATAAAGACCTCTGATACCCAATCAACGAACCTTAGAATCATCCAGAGTAATTCCCAGTTTCTTACTATTGTTTTAGATGAAACCAAGTGTTTGCTCTAGTATCTGCCCCCATCCAGATTGCTTAAAATAGAATGCATGCATGCTGAAGTAAATCACACTGAGACAAATTTCAGGTTAATGAAAAACTTTGGAATGTTTAATCAAGGGTAAGCCCCTTATAAAGGTAGAAATACATCATATACAGAAAGCAAGATAACAGAGAGAATACATCTTTAATTGGTCAAGTGTTAAGTGTCTTATCTAATGCACTTCCTCCAAAGTGTGATGTCACCATCATCCTGGGTGCAGCTCTGGATGGAGACGCCATCTTAATACATGACATTCTTTATATTCTTTGGTCGATGGGAGGGGGTGCTCTAGAAGCCATTTTGAGTAAATAATGAACACAGGCACATACAGTAAATAGACATTTTACTAACAATAATGTCTATCCATAACACTATAACTTTGTTGCTTTGCCCGTCAAGTCAGCCAGTAGACATTCTAGAGTGCCTTAGAACCAAAACAAAATGAGGGGGCTGAGCTATGAGAAATGACAACCATGAGACATGGAAGAAATGGAGGGAGCAGAAGGAGCAGGTAAAGAAACTACGAAAGATGAAAACAGAGAACTGATGCATAGTACTGACAGACATCTACCTACACTGAACAACTGTCTCAGGTAACCCTAAACCTGATGCCTTTTTCAGTTCCTCTGTGTTTAAGGAATGGGACATGCACTGACGTGTGTCTACCTCCAGAGAGTTTAAGCATTGATGCAGCATGACACTAAACTGAAAAGTGGAAAAAGCAGGAAGCTAAAAGAGACCCTAGGATGCCTAGCAAATTATACCAGTGCAAGCTCCCCAAGACCAATAATAAAAATTTCCAAACCCCTGCTCTTCTGATCGGTTTTAGACCACTGGATCCAAATCCTAAGGCCTAACTCTGTGACCTCCACATCAGCAAGCAAAAGCTTCATAGAGGAATACAAATTACAAAACACCAGCTCTGTCATCTTTAAAGTCCCACAGAAACACAAGGAAAAATACAAATGAAGTTACATTCAGCTCTAAATATGTCACAGGTATTCAAAAGATTTTTAACTATTAGACTCATAGGACATGGTACATCGAGATCCCCATTTCTTTTTCACCCTGCCTGCCAAAAAAATTGCTCTCAATGATTAATTTTCCCACGGGAAATTGGACAATACTGATTCAATTCTTGGATGTTTACCAAACCATATAAATTTGTCAAAAATAGTTTGAACTAACTTCAACCAACTGTCTGAACATGGTAAGGGGACCATTCTAAATAGATAGACCCATTTGGGTAATATGTGCAATTTTATTATATTAATTCTCCCTCACCAAGATATCTTATTATTCCTCCACTCTGTAAGCTTTTTTCCAGTATATTTCATGAGGCGGTATAGCAATCTAGACAAAATGTATGATCTAATGCCGTCTTCATTAGATAAATTGATCGACAGTGCATCAGATTTATTTAAATTTAACTTGTACCCCGAAGGAAGCGAAAACTCGTCTATAAGTATCATAAATCTCTCTAATGAGACAACTTACAACAGTAAGAACGATGTCATCAGCATACATGATAAATTTGATGCTATCTCACTGAAACTTGAAACCCTTAGTCTGATTGTCCTTCTTTATTGCAATCTCCAATAGTTCAATTACCATTAGAAATGGCAATGGAGGGAGCGGGGAGCCTTGCTTGATTGGTTTACCATTATTTAAAGTAAATCAATCTGAAGCAAAGCCTCTGTGGCGAAAGTAACCTCGCCACTGGTTTTTGGAGGGGCCTGTTTGCCAGCCTCCTGCCCTGCGACTATGGCCCTGGGATGTATTGCCCTTCTAGGAACTGATTTGGGCATAATGGATTTTTATATTGCTGTTCCTGGCCCTTTAACTACTTTGGAGCAGTGTTACAACTTTAAATAGGCACTTCAGATACAGCCGAAGTGTCAAATTTAAGTGAGGGCATCCTGAATTTATCCACAGTGACCTTACGCTCGGAACAATTAAGTGTTCTAAATAAAGGGCTGAAATTTGCCCCACAAGCTGATCCAAATTTATTTGAATTGTTTATTGATACTCAAAAGTTTTTGAGAAAATTAACAATCAAAAGATTTTTCGAAAAGAAAAAAGACATTACACCAGTTCTAAGAACTGTTTCAGACAATCCCGGCAAGGATATAACATCTGTAGATGAAAGACATAAACCAGAGACTATCCACTCGGGTCTTAAAAATAAATCCAAATTCTTTCCCACTTGGGAAAAGGGGGATCATATCCCGGTATTTTGTGAGATGATCATGAGCGAGTTTGAAAAAATTTCTGTAAATAAGAAAAAAGAGAATTTAACTAAGAGGGAGAAACAAGCCCTTAAATTATTAAAAGATAATAAGGATCTAGTAATTAGACAGGCTGACAAAGGGGGGAGTATTGTGGTCCTAAACAGAGATGATTATATGAAAGAGTCCCAAAGAATATTGGGGGACTCTAACACCTACAAAATTTTGAAAAGCAACCCTACATGTGATTTCAAAAAAAGTTACATGAGATTTTAAATGAAGGTTATAAAAAAGGGATCATAGACAAAGACGAGTTTGATTATTTGTTCATTTCGTCCCCAAAAACAGCCGTCTTCTATTACCTGCCAAAGGTACATAAGAGCCTTATATCTCCACCAGGGAGACCTATTATCAGTGGGATTGGCTCTATGACTAGTAATATTTCCCAATATATCGACTTTTTTCTTCAGAAATATGTGACACAAACAAGATCGTATGTCAAGGATTCCACTCAGATCATTAGGGAGTTTGAAGACTTCGAGTGGTGTGATGAATATCTTTGGGTGACTGTGGATGTAGCATCTTTATATACTGTTATAGACCACGAGAAGGATATAGATGCCGTCCATAGAATTTTAATGAAGGACCCTGAAATGAATACAGAACAAATTTCTTTTATTTTGACTCTTATAAGGTTCATCCTGTTCCACAATTTTTTTTGGTTTGAGGGGATTCATTACCTTCAAACATGTGGAACAGCAATGGGTACCAGGTTCGCACCGAGTTATGCCAATATTTTTGTGGCAGATTGGGAACTTCAGAATATTTGGAAGAACAACCCATTATGATACCCATAGAAATTTTTTAGATCTGACTCTATTTATAAAAGAAGGAAGAGTAAGAAGTAAGACCTATTTCAAACCCACAGATGGGAATGGGTTCATTGAGTTCTCTAGTTGCCATAATCGTAATTGGTTGATGAATATTCCAAAGGGGCAACATATGAGGATTTTTAGAAATAGCACTGACAGGGACGATTTTAAACAAGAAATTCCAAGACAGAAATTATCCCGATGATCTTTTATTTAAAACTCAACAAAAGGTAGAAGGTTTCCAAAGGAAAGATCTCCTAGTGGATAAAAATAAATATAAAACTATGAATAATAGAAGTCATAGAAATGACTTTGATTTAGCCTTCCTTACTAAATATAACGGTAGGGCGAATTTAATAGAAAGATCTATACGAAAAAATTGGCCCATTTTATTGCAGGATCAATATCTAAAAAGGATTTTACCATTAAGACCGAAAGTGCTATATAAAAAAAACTAATAATTTGAAAAATATTCTAGCACCCAGTATACTACCTAAGGAGGGCAAAGAGAAGGAGCATTTTTTATCCAAGAAACCTATGCGTTTTTTTTAAATGTGGTAGGTGCAGTACCTGTAAATTTCAGGCAAATAAAACTATAGAATTTAGGAGCACAGTTACAAAAGAGGTTTTTAAAATAAAACATTTTATTAATTGCCAGAGTAAAAATGTTGTATATTTATTACAATGTAAATGTGGCGTCCAGTATATAGGACGCACCATTAGAAAATTACTCGTTAGATTACTTGAACATTTTAATGGGATTAATAATAAAAATATGAAACATAGTGTTCCAAAACACTGTACCACCTGTGATGTTTTTAATTGGAAAGATTTTATATGTATTGGGATTGACTTGATTATACCACACTGGAGAGGGGGAAATACTGAGAAAATGCTGGCAATAAGGGAAACCGAATGGATATACAAAATGAAATCATCGGTTCCCTCGGGCCTTAACACAGATCTTGATATACTTGTTTTTATAGATTGATTTGCATATATTAACCTGTTGTTTTTATATCCCCTTTTTACATTCATTTCTACATCTTTTTATTTTTATTTTTATATTTATTTTTGTTCCTGTTTGTGCAATGAAGAACGAAACAATAAGAAAAATTATTTGGACCTCATAAATCATTATTTTCTCTCATCATATAGGGACTTTTACCTTATGATTTATTATATTATATTTTGGATTTTACTATATTTTTATTATATGTTTTATCATATTTCTGATTTTATTCATTTCTTTCCCCTTTAAATATGTTTTTATGATTATGTTGATATTGCTGGGATTTGTCTCCATTTCTTATTTTTAACATTTATTCTGATATATTTGAAATTTGATTACCTGATACTTTTTATTAAAATCTACAGATTTATTGTTTATTATTTATGATATTGAGAGGATAGTTTCTCTATGTTAGCCTTAGCAATATATGTATTCAAATTACAAATGTAGTGATACAAATGGGCTTTCACATTTTTTCCTTATATTTTTTTCTTTTTTAGCACATATATACATATATGTGTATATGTACATATTATTTTTCATATATCTTTTATATATACAGCGTTACAGCTGCATGTAAAGTGAATCTTATTGATTTCTGGCCCTATTGGCCATTTCCATTTTGTCTGGCCCAATTTGCATCTTTATTTAGGATGCCAAACATGTAACACAACCTAGACTGGATATAGGCAGGTCTGTAAATCCAGATCGCATCTGCTACGAGCGCTCCAAGTGGAGTTTTGCTCGTTTTGTGGCTGTGTATATTATACATAAAGTTTATTTGCGTTCCAGCTTGGTTGGCGCATGCGCCTTCCGACCAGTCGCACGTCATCACGTATGACGGTGCGCACGGTACGGTCTGCACATGCGCAACCAATTAATGGCGGCCAGACTGGCGGATTTAAAAGAAGAAGAAGATCAATAGGAATTCAGCAAGCTCCTGAGGAAGTCGACACCGACGAAACGCGTTGAGCACCAACAAGATCCCTGCAGTTTTTGGTATAGCAGTCTTTTCTCTACAAGCATTTCATCTTATAGTATTTGTGCACTTTATGCTGTTTTTATATTATTGACACTTGCACTTTTACATTTCAGCACTTGGCACTTTACTATTTTTCAAGCTTCTTGTATGATTATAGCTGCTATCCTTAGGGGTTCTTGGCCAATTTGGCTGTATATTTACTTTTTATTATTGTTATTTTATCCATATTGTGCACGTTGCACTTTTGGGTATTACTTTTTCTAATAAAGTGGATTTTATATCTCCACGGATTATTCTTCATTTATGGGATTATTCTATACCATATTATTATATGTCTTAGTGTTTGTGGCGCCCTGTAGTCTGTACTAGTGTTCAGACATTGTGTTTATTTTGTATAGGGGTTTAGAGTGACCTCAGTACAGTGGCTTGCCTACACTAGAGTCGAGACCTATTATCACCCTCATCACCCGCCTACTTATCTTTGTGTTAAACCTGCATAAAAGAAGGCCTTTGGTGCCAAGTAAACAGAGTTCTACTTCACCCTCAATCTAGGGGGAGTTGCTATATCACAAGGGATTGCTATGCTCTGCATACTCCCTTAGCTAATCACTACTAAGCTTTTTTAAGAGCTTGTTCCTGCTTCACTCTCTTGGAGGAGAGGTTCACCCACTGGAACCTGGAGACTTGTCATAGGTCCACGGTGGGTAGGAGACAGTGAGACCCCAACCAAGCTCCGTGGGGTCTACGGTGGTTGTGGTGTCTGGTGGAGCGCTTGGATAGCTCTGTAAGAGCTAGGAGCATCTTTCAACTGAGGTACCCAGTCGAGGTGCCAGGTGATCTGTATCACATGGTATAATTGAATATTTCCATGAAGACCTCTAAAGCTTTCTCAAAGCTTTTCTTACTCTGTCAAAGGCCTTCTCAGCATCCAAAGACGTAGCCAGGAGGGGTGTCCCATCCTGTTGGGCCATATCAACGTCGATAAGTCTTCTAACTTTTGAAGAGGAGGATCTACTCCCAATGAAGCTAACTTGATCCTGATGTATAATTAATGGCATAACTGTATTTAACCTAGCAGCTAACATGGAAGAATATATTTTGATGTCTACATTAAGTAAAGATACCGGTCTATAATTTGATATATATTCTGGCTTTTTATTTTGCTTTAGAATTTATATAATGTGAGCTTTTAACATCTCTCTAGGGACCCCAAAGCTTGAGCTGAAGTGATTCAAGAGTTTTGTAAGAGTTTCCTTAATGTTATTTAATAAAACATAATAGAAATAATTATCAAAGCCATCAGGGCCAGAAGATTTGTTTGCTTTAAGTTTTTTTTTTGTTTTTTTTTATGCAAGCTCTACTTTATTCTCAGAGATAGGTTCATTTAGCTTAATCAGCTGGGGTAGACTATATTTAAAAAAAAAATGTATAACGTTTACAGAGGAATGCCTCTCCGGCAGATTGTACTAGGTCAAATGGAATTCCTGGAACCCCATACAAATTTGCTCTGGGTTAAGTAATATCTGCCTTTGGATAATTTTAGTAACCAGAATCATTTTTTAATCTGTTTTACATTAATGTATCAGCTTTGTTTCCTTTATAGTACCAGTTTCTTTCAAGTCAGTCCAAAGTGATGTTTGCATTCTGAATTAAGATCTCATTGATCCGATTCTTCACAGCCATCAGGTTTTCAGTTATTTCTTTTGAGGGGCCGCTTTTGTTTTCTCCCTCTAGTCTGCCAGACTCAGACCACATTGCTTTTTCTATTGACTTCCTAATTTGATTAATAATCCTTTAATCGTGCATTTATTTGTGCACTATGTTGTTAGGAGTGGAATATCCTTAGAGTTATTTCCTTAAAAGAATAGATCTGTAGCATCCTTAATCAAATCTATTTAGTTTTTTATACATTAGTTGATCATTGAGTCTCCAATTGGATCTAGCTCTCACAAATTTATTGTTAATGACAATAATGACTGCATTGTAATCTGACCAAGGAATACTAGTGATTAGAATTTTTTTAGTCAGTTAAGGTATCTCTCTCTGCCAAAAAGTAATTGTAACGGATCACCTGGCACCCCAACTGGGTACCTCCGTTGAAGGATGCTCCTAGCGCTTCCTGAGGACTCCAAGCACTGCAGCAGGCACCACAACCACTGAACCGGAGAAGCATACGAATACTCTCAAGCATATGAATCCTGTAAACAGCTGAACAGGAAAAGCATGCCATCAGCTTACACTCCTGGCAATCAGCATACAATCCAATTCCCCCAATAACGAGACAACACTTCGTTTTGAGGTCAAGCAGAACTGACTGTACTGGCACATACAGCCTCTTTTATTCCCAGTTCACAAACTTAGTACTGCCCACAGGGTTTTACAGAACAACCAATAACACACGTACATTACAGAAAACACTCCCAGCAATTATACACAAAATCCTCCCCTCTGTCTGTGATATAATTATGGTACACAATGGGTTAACATAATTATCATAAGCAGGAAAATTACAGTTTTTATACATGTGCTATAACTTTATAGTATAGAAATATATGTCCAATCTTCATATAAAGAATCAGCACACTTTAAATATAAACACTATCAAAAATCAGACAAATCCATCCACTAGATAAAAAGTCCTTTATGACCGACCACAAGCACATTTTCCTGCCCAAAACAGTTCCAAAGATTTGGGCTGTGCTGTCTGTCTATTTTACACAGGGCCATTCGTGCATTTAGCTTAGTATAGTAGTGAGTTCAAACTGCCGAATGGGACTTAGTCTCTGCAGCTGAAAACTGAGTGTAGGAGAAGTTAAGGGTCAGCGATGTTCATTGAAATGTGTAGCCGATTTCAGTTCCATGGATTTGGCTACACATACCGCTGACCTCGTTCGAATGAACAAAGATGGCCGGTGCCACGTGTTCGTTTGTCGAATGGCGGCTACTTCGACTACTTCGGCTGCATCCGAAGTGCCAATTTAAAGCTCCAGAACTGCTCCAATACAATTTAAAGGGGCAGCAAGTCTTTTAAAATCCAATCTGCTAAAATAGTCTTTAACAGGCAATATCTTCCAAGGGCCATAGTCTTAAAGGGGCATTGTTCCCAAAAGTCACAGTATGTCCCCAGATGGTTCTTAAAGGGCCAGCAGCAGCATAATAAAATACAATATGCCCAAATACTGTATTTAAAGAGCCAAATCTCCCAGGGGCCATAGTCAGCAGGCAGGAGGCGGGCAAGCAGGCTTCTCCAATGCCCAGTGGCGAGGTTGGTTTCACCACAGTAATCTAACCTGGAATACACTTGATGTGAGGGTGAAAACAAGATTAGTCCATGTTCTGGGGATGCCATACCTGCAATACATCTACCAAACTGTTCATCCTCAGTATTTTGTTGAATTGTCTAGCATGATTCATAGTGTCTGACTATTGTGGTGGATTCGTCTGTTTCCTGCACTTTCGTGTAAATGGCTGTTTCCTATAGCCCAGCCATACGAATGACTGTTTTTCACCGAACAAAGCTACCGAACGGATGGCCACCCAGGAGAGAAGTGTGCTGCTGGTTAACCTATTGATCCCAATTAGAACGTTGTGGTTAACCGCAGACACTTCTCAATTAAACCGAATTCAGGGTGGCCGTCATTCGTATGTCGACCACGAGGCAGCGGACATTTTAAAACACACGAAAGCCCAGTGGTGTTCGGCTCTATTTTCATGGAACTAAAAACGGACACTTTTTCTGCCGAACACCGCTGAATCAACGGGATGCCTGGCTGCCTCCACGAAAACGTACGAACACCGGCCGTTCGGGAGTTTTGAAACACATGAAAGGACTTAACCCAGATAGCCCTCCCATGGAGTCAATGGCATACCGAAAGACTGTAAGGACTTTGACTCCATGGCGATTGAACTATGTGTGTGGGATCTGAGTGCTATTCGCCAATAATATACCCTCAGATCCAGGCTATCTGGGGATATGTGATGCGAATAAGAAATGTTTGGTTATTTTAAAATTATGTATTTTTATGTATATTCTGGTTTTGTATCTAAGATGGCGATTTGTCTTTGTCCTGGAGATAATTGAATTACTTCTCAATTATCTCCAGGGCAGAGGGGAGGAGACCATATTGCATTGTGGGAAAAACCTGTAACTGTATGTCTGAAATGTCCCCCTGTCTGTCATTTCAGTCTCCCTATTGGTCCCCTAGGGGAGTGTCCACCAAGTGCGAGACCTGCATAAATACGGGCAGGTAGCCCACAATAAAGCCAGATCCTGTTTGACCCTCAATGCGGAGCTTCTGTCTCGTTATTTGGGGGATATCTTCTTTACGCTTAGAGACTGCTGATTGGAACCGAAAGCCGCTTGGTGGATATCGTTGTTCGGCGGCTAGCAGCAGTTCGTGGATTTCCGTTCGGGAGTTTGGAGCCCTTCACGGATCCCAGTCGGGAGATTGATGCTTCCCCTGGTTATAGTTTGTGGATTACAGTTTATGCGAATGGATTACTGATATTGCAAAAGGGGAAGGTGAACTAAACGGCGGTTTCTCTTAAAGACACCAGGGTTGTCTTCACAGACTTCCACGCAGAGTGGGCCCACAAACTGGACCAAGCCTCCCAGGGGTGGATACAAGCCAGTAAAGCAACCACCATGGAGGAGTTCCAGCAATTGCTGCTGTTGGAACAATTTGGCCTGTCCCCAGAGGCACAGGAATGGGTGAGAGATAGAAAACCCCTCACCCTAACAGAAGCTGTACGACTAGCCAACCAGCACTATGACGCCAGGAGGCATCACAGTAACCTCAACCGAGGGTACCCTCGACCCACCGCTCAACCTCATACAGCTACCCCTACAGCAACCCCATTCCGGCCACCCCGGGGGGGCACACTCCACCATCCAGATATAATGGCAGAGCGAATATCCAGTGCCATACATGTAAACAATGGGGCCACATGGTGAGAGAGTGTACCCAGAACCGGAGCCGTCAAGCATGGAGACAAGTACGGCCGAACCCAGCACCAAGAGCAGCAACCCACCACTACCAAGCGGAGCCAGCCACCCAGGAGATACTCTTTAATCAGACAGAAGAGCCCCTGGGGATACTACACGATGTGATGTCGGTACAAGCCACAGACAACAGGCAACACCATCGCCAACTAGTAACCCTAGAAGGGAGAGAGGTCCAAGGGCTCCGGGATTCGGGGGCCACTCTGACTCTGGTAGCACCTAATTTGGTTCCAGGCTCAGCACATACTGGCGGATCCGTATACAGATTACCCACCGCAAAAGTACACTTGAATTGGGGTGTTGGGGAAGGGATGGTAGAGGTGGGCCTGATGCAGAAGCTGCCGGCAGATGTCGTATTGGGGAATGACCTGGGCCGAATGACTTCCACCTTTATACCTCAAGCTCCACTCCAAGAGGCTAACCCAGTAACCACAAGGCAACAGGCTCACACCACGGCTCCATCAACGCACTCTGAGGCTCAGGTAAGAGACAGTGACCCTCCTACGACCCGTGTTACCTGGGATACCCCGACTGAATTTGAGGCAGAGGTTAAGATAGACCCTATGTTAAAAGTGTACAGGGATAGGGTGATCTCCAACCAGGCCGGATTAGAGGGAGAGCGGTATACCTGGGAAAAGGGGTACCGTATTGCTGAAAGGGTAGTGGGGGGATCTGTGAATGTGACTACTAGACAGCTAGTAGTTAGGAACTTCTTTGGATCGCTAACGACATCCCCTTGTCTGGGCATCGGAGGATGACTCACACTCGATACTGCTTGACCCACGCCTTATTCTGGCCGGGTATATCCAAGGATGTGTGGCAGTACTGCCAGACATGTGACATCTGTCAGCGAGTAGGCAAGAGGGGTGACCACCACAAGGCCAAGTTATGCCCACTGCCCATCATAGAAGAAACATTTAGTAGTGTGGCCGTAGATATAATAGGACCCTTACCAAAGCCCAGTCCCTCCGGCAAGAGATATATCTTAACCATAGTAGACTACGCCACCCGATACCCTGAAGCAGTAGCCCTCTCCAATATCCACGCCGAGACATTGGCCGAGGCCTTAATGAAAGTATTCTCACAAGTGGGGTTCCCCCAGGAGATCATATCGGATAGGGGTACGCAGTTCACGGCCGAGGTGACCCACCTACTATGGAGAATATGTGGCATTAAGCCTATCGTGGACTCTGCGTACCACCCTCAGTCTAATGGGTTATGTGAAAGGTTTAATGGGACATTAAAGCAGATGCTCCGTACCTTTGGAGAGGCCCATAAGGACTGGGAAGTGATTCCTACCCCATGTGCTATTCGCATACAGAAAGGTACCCCAAGAGTCTATGGGATTTTCTCCCTTTGAACTACTGTTTGGGAGAAGGGTGCGAGGGCCTTCAGATTTAATTAGGGAGCACTGGGAGGGTGAAAGTAGTACAGATGAGACACCCATTGTATCATATGTGCTGGAGTTCAGGGACCGCTTGGAGGCACTAACACAGACCGTACAGGTCAACCTCCAGGCGGCTCAACAACGCCAGCGCCGATGGTATGATCGGGGAGCCAGAAAGTCTTCAAGTGGGACAGAAAGTCTTGATTTTAAAACCTGTTCACAATGACAAGCTGCAGGCCATCTGGCAAGGCCCATACCAGGTGGTAGAACAGAGATGTAATACCACCTATGTCATTGGCCCCTCCTCAGGGACAGGGAAGAGACGCATGCTCCACGTGAATATGCTCAAACCCTACCATGAGAGGATAGAGGACGTGGCGGTGATATGCGCCTCAGCTTCTGAGGATCAGGAGAATCTGGCGCTACCTGACTTATTGGAGCGAGAAGATCAGGCAAAGCCCTCCACAGGTGTTCAGCTGGGGGAGCGGCTAAGCCCCCAGGAGCATGCCCAGGTACAGGAGTTAATCGTGGCTAAGGGAGCCACTTTCTCCAATTTAGCAGGGTACACCCCGCTAGCTACTCACCAAGTCGAGACCCCCGGACAGCTATCTATGCGGCAGACCCCATACCGTATCCCGGAAGCAGTCAGGGAACATATGAGGAAGGAAATTGAGGAAATGTTGCAGCTAGGGGTTATTGAACATTCCAATAGCCCCTGGGCATCGCCGGTAGTGCTGGTACCCAAGAAGGATGGCACAACACGCTTTTGTGTAGACTACCGGAGGCTAAATGACAAAACAGTGTCTGATGCCTACCCGATGCCCCGGATAGACGAGCTGCTAGACAAAATGGCATGAGGCCAGTACCTCACTACAGGGTAGGGAGTGGACAGCAAAAGCCCGAACCAGCAAAAATCGAAGCAGTAGCTATGTGCCCTACCCCCCCTGGACAAAAATCCAAGTGCTAGCCTTCCTGGGTACTGCAGAGTACTACCGAAAATTCATACCCAAATATAGTGCCCTGGTCAAACCCCTGAATGACATGACCCGCAAAAACCTTCCTTGACAGGTAATATGGGCCCCAGAGTGTGATCAGGCATTCCAACAACTCAAGACTGCTTTAACCAGTGCACCTGTTCTTGCTGCTCCTGATCCAACTAAACAATTTCTTGTCCACACAGACGCTTCTGTAACGGATCACCTGGCACCCCGACTGGGTACCTCCATTGAAGGATGCTCTTAGCACTTCCTGAGGACTCCAAGCACTGCAGCAGACACCAAAACCACCGAACCGTAGGAGCATATGAATGCTCTCAAGCATATGAATGTTGTTTACAGCTGAATAGGAAAAACCATGCGAATAGGTTTACACTCCTAGCAGTCAAACTGGAACACCATACAATAAATCCTCCCCCAATAATGAGACGACACTTCACTTTGAGGGTTAAGCAGGAACAAGCTCTTAAAAGAGCTTAAGAGAATATAACGGATCACCTGGCACCCCGACTGGGTACATCCGTTGATAGATGCTCCTAGCGCTTCTTGAGGATTCCAAGCACTCTAGCCGACACCACAACCACCGCAGGCCAAACCTCTCTTCCTTCAGAGCAAAGCAGGAACGAGCTCTTAAAAGATCTTAGGAGTGATTATAGCAAGGGAATATGCAGAGCATAGCAATCCCTTGTTGCAGATTCCCCCAAAATGAGACAGGACTCCAAATTGAGGGTGAAGTAGAACTGTCTAAAACTTTATTTTACTTGGGACTAGCCCATATGGTCATTACATTAAAATTGCTGTGAAAACTCAATAAAATTACAAACAGTCAAATCATAGCAGGCAACATACAGTGACTTATTATAACATAATTACATATTTATAAATGGGTGGGGAAGAACATAATTAACACAAAATGTCTCTCCTGCATGCAGAATTAGCAATATGCAAATCTACCCGAATATGCAAATTACCAGTCTTGCTATTCAGGTAGTGCATATTACTGTTGCTACCAACAGAGGGCACTACACAAGCTCCATAGTCAAATCCGTAGTTGGTAGCAATCCTCAGCAGTACAGGAGAGCAGGCAATACATCCCAGGGGCCATAGTCACAATCAGTCTTCTCCAATGCCCAGTGGCGAGGCTGGTTTCCGCCACAGCTTCAATGTTTGGATTGGGAGCAGTGCTGAGCCAAGTTGGAGCAGATGGCGGAGAACATCCCGTAGCTTACCTAAGCCGAAAGTTATTGCCCCAAGAAGTAAGCTACGCTGCCATTGAGAAAGAATGCCTCGCCGTGGTGTGGGCCCTCAATAAGCTGCAGCCTTATTTATATGGACAACTTTTTTCCTTACTCACAGATCACAACAAGTTGGTGTGGCTGGGGACAATGCCAGGCTGCTGCGCTGGAGTTTGGCGCTGCAGCCTTTTGACTTTACGATTCATTCCTGCCTGGGGAAGCAAAACGGTAACGCCGACGGGTTATCTAGACAAACTGACCTTGAGAAGTGATCTGTGAGTACTCCTCCGGACATCCCAAGCCGATCCATTGGGAACAGACTGTGTATGCCGGCTTGGTTCTGGGGGAGCATTGTGGCAAACCTAGCCACTTTAAGACTTACTGTATAACATCAGAAGGATGTCTGCTTTTATTGTATATAAGGATGTATTCGAGTGTGTTTGCAATAAAGAGTGTTTGTATGCTAACGGCCGAAAGCCGCTAGCATTCATTTGGTAGTTTCATGAAAAGTGACTTTAGACACTGTTCATGAAATGAATAAGGTACCGAATGGGAGCCCACACACAGAGGTAGTTAATTGCTTTCCTAGGTGGCCGTCGTTCGGCTACTGACCACATCTTGGATCCTTTGTTAGCCCAGCGGTGTTTGGTCGTCGAGCGCCTGGAACTAAAATTGGCTACTCGGCGGCGCGAACACCGCTGGACTTCCAGGCCGTTCGGGAACCAAGGTATTTCGGTAGTTTCGTTCCCAATAGGTATTCGGTACGTTTAGGAGAATGTGATATAAAAGTATGTTTCGTGCGGCGTTCGGTTATTTATGCTGGGATCTGAGCGGTACTTTCACGAAGTGTGCGCTCAGACCCCATCTAGCTACCGAACGGTCATTTAAGGGAATCACACGAATAATACTAAAGTTATAGAATTTTGTGTTAAAACCCGGTTCTGCTGTACGGAGGGATAATCCATTTAACAGGATATTCTAGTGGGAGTATCCCTCACGTACAGCAGTGCATGGTGGGAGAAATGCTCTGTATATTCAGTTCCCCATGTAGTCCTCTACTGTAATACCCCTGTGTAACGGATCACCTGGCACCCCGACTGGGTACCTCCGTTGAAAGATGCTCCTAGCGCTTCCAGAGGACTCCAAGCGCTCCACCAGACACCATAAGCACCGCAGGCTGCAGCTATCTCCCTTCAGAACGAAGCAGGAACAAGCTCTTACAAGAGCTCAGTGATTATAGCAAGGGAATATGCCTAGCATAGCAATCCCTTGTAGCAGATTCCCCCAATAAGAGACAGGACTCAAGTTGAGGGTAAAAATAGAACTCCCTGTACTGTCACATACAGTCTCTTTTATTCCCAATCCACAAACATAGTACAGCCCACAGGGCGTTACAAAACAACCAATCACATCACAGTTACATCCCACATATTCCCTCCCCTTATCCTGAGAGGAAACTCAATTATACATACAGTTAAAACATACTTTCAACCCAACTTTCATAACTCCAAAACCATACATCACATTCACATAAAATTACATATTCACAATCAATCCATTCAGGGGAACAACATATTCAAAAATGGCACATGAATCAGACCAGGGGTTCAAAAGTTAGTAAAAAGTCCTTTGTGACTAAATGAAGCATGGCTTTCTGGCCCAAACCAGTTTCAGAGTCTTCTATCCTGGAGAGTAATTCAATTATCTCCCAGGATAGACACAAGACTCCATTAAGCACATGGTTGCAAAAAGACACAAAACACTTTAAAATACATAAAGTCACATTTACACATAACACACAGACATTTCACATATCCCCAGATAGCTGGGATCTGAGCGCACAAAACTACTGAAGAGCGCTCAGATCCTATTCACACAGTTCAATTGCTATGGAGCCGAAGTCTTTAACTACACAAATGGGCTCCATGGCATAGCTATCTGGGTTAACACATTCTCATAAAGTCTGGTCCATAGTCCAAAGGCAAGAGGCGGGCAAGCAGCCCCCTCCAAGGACACGTGGCGAGGCCGGTTTCGCCACACCCTGTAAAGTGACTAAGGAAACCCTTTGCATGGGGAATCACATAAATACTGGAGCTGTGAATAAAATTGTCAGTTGACTCCCAGAACTGTGTTTCGTCCGATTACTGGGGGATTTTAGATATTGCCTTCATTGCCAGTGCTTTACTTTGGATTACCTTCTTTACCAGCAGAGATCTTGGGATTTAATATTGCAGCTCCACTACACAGCGGTACATGGACGTCGAACACATGGAAGTCTTTTCCGCTGCGCGATCCCACAAACCTGGGTTAAAACTGTACCACTGCCCGTTCCACTTCCCAACCAGCTAGGAGAACAACGTTTGAGAGATAGGAACTACCGACTGGGGGGAGCATTTGCTCCCTAAAAGCCAGGGGGAGCATTTGTCAGTGTTCGCACAGGAACTCCCAGACACAACCGTACACACGTGCGCTAGTGAATGGCAGCCATTTTGTCTCCCTAACGCAGGCAGCGGTACATGTTGTTGAGCGTGTGGAACTCTTTTTGGCTACGCGAACCTAGGGAAGACTGTACCATTGTCTGTTCCGCCCCCAGACAAATTAGGAGAGCACTGTTCGGGAGAAAGACACTAAAAGCCAGGGGGAGCATTCTTTGGTGTTCGCCCAGGAACTCCTGAAAGCTGACTGGCTGTTGCCTCCTTTTCTTTGGAACTGTTTTGGGCCACCACCTCATGGCCAGTCGGTCAGAACTTTACCTGAATGATGATTCCGTTCTACTGAATGGATCTAAGCATGTTTTACATGTATATATACTGCTTGTGTTGCTTGTATACTTTAATACATTAGCATTGAAAAAGGGCTTGTGCCCGAAACGTCTGTTTGTACTGTGTCCTCAAATAAACTGCAGTAGCACCTGGGTAGCAACAAATATACTGGATGTGCAGAACTCTATTTCTTTCTCTGTTTGATGACTACACTCTTAGGACTACAGTGAGAGCCTCTGCAGCTCAGGTATAACCTTTTTGTGTTTTCTACAATGACTGCGTAGGCATATTTTGTGCCTCTACCTCATCCTATGCATATCGACGTGAGCGCTATTTGGACAACTTGGGCACTCAGATCCGGGCTATTCAGGGATATAAGATTTGTGGGGTTCCTGTGTATCATGCCTGTATTTTTGGGTTGTTTTATATATTTCTTATGTTGGATTTCCTGTAACTGAGAGATAATTGAGTTACTAGGTTTTGACTCAATTATCTTCTAGACACAGGGATGCCTGGCAAGGATTTGTGTTGGTTTGAATGGAGGCCCCATGTTGGGGCTCTGTGCATTAAAACTTGTGACAAAAAAATACATCAAAATGAAACAAACCCCCCGGGAAGGCTTATTGTCTCAGGCATCAGGTCAATTTTATCTAATCTATCTGAATATTTGGACATTTTGTTATAACCGTCAGTCAAAAACATGGAGTCCTATTTAAAGGTCTCCATGACCCTCCTTAGATTTTTAAACACTTAATTGGAAAGAGTCCTATTTTTTAGTAACCTGCAATGTACAATCCTTGTATACTATCATACCACATGACAAGGGTTGTGCAGCAGTTGAAAATATTCTGAGATTAGAAAATAAAGTTCCAGAAGAACAAATACTTATTATACAAGGTATTTATACTATTTTAACTATCAATTATTTCTAATTCTATGACTCTTTTTACATACAAAAACAGGGTACAGCTATGGGCACCAAGTTTGCCCCCAGTTATGCCAACCTATTTATGGCCGAGTGCGAATCTGCGGCCATTTTTGGTGGACATGAATTGAGGGCAAACCTGGTGACCTATTATAGATACATTGATGATATGTTTTTTATTTGGGATGGGACTGAGAATGCTCTTAATAAATTCTTAAATTATCTTAATAAGAATAATGGAATTGTTTTAACATGGGAATACAGCAAGACCTCTATTAACTTCTTGGATTTACACATTTTTATTCAAGACAATGAAATAAACAGAAAAACCTTTTTCAAAAAGGTTTGCAGTCATAATGCAATAGATATATCCAGTTACCATTATAAGCCCTGGCTACATGGAATTCCGGGAAGTCAATTTCTCTGTTTAAGAAAAAAATTGTTCAAATCTGTAAGATTTTGATGAACAATCCCAATTACTCAAAAACAAATTTATTGTAGTAATAATTTGGATGAAAATATAGCAGCTATTAAAAAAAAACTAATAGATTAGACCTTTTGGAACACAAAAACAAAACTAATGACAATCCTGTCTCATTGCCAATTATTAAGTGTTCTTGCATAGCAAGACCACTTATTGTTATCTCACATATATATTATTAAGTGTTCTTGCATAGCAAGACCACTTAATGTTATCTCACATATATATTATTATTATTATTCTTATTCTTATTATAGCAAAATTTGCCACCCTAACTCCTCCCACAGTTTTTACACTACATAGACAAAAATTTACCAAAACGTGCAGATTGTTCCCGATCGGATTGCTATTACTTTGTGGAACATTTCGCCGAATGGTTCACGGAATATCGTCGTTTTTGTGGCGAAATTTGTCCCATAGGAATGAATGGCAAAGCTAGAGTGGGAGCTGCCAAAAGCTGAAAAATCAGGACATGATTTCTAAACTGCCACCACTCCCTCATTTTCAGGCCCACCTACACAAATCTTATATCAAAACGTTCAGCTATCCCTGCTGCCACTAAACATGTCAACGGCTAAGCTGTAGTCCTGATAGTTTTCACAATATAATCATTTGTTTGCAACTAACGCCGTCCATTGACTTTCATTGAAACTTCACTCTGCAAAGCTCAAATTTGAAGTGCAATTTCTAAACTGCGACTGTGCCTTCAATTTTACTACTTCAGAGACATACTATGCATCAAAATGTAGGTCTGGGTCTTGTGATTCTCACAATATAAAGCTCTTCGCTGTAGGAGTTATAGTTTTTAAGATACGACCGTTTGAAGATGGCAACCACCAAAATACTCTGACCTGTGTCAAGCTGCAGCAGTGTAACGGAGTCTTACCTGATAGGGAGTCCAGCTCGCAGAGTTATACGCTCACCCTTGCAAAGTAGACACAGACCAGGGTGACCAGGTAAGACGCCACCTGGCCTGTGAGTCTGTGCGCGGGGGCTTTCCAGGAAAGGTGCTCCAAGACTCAGTACAGCAGGGATAAGCAGAAGCGTGGTCAAGGGAAGCCAAAATCAGGGAAGCCAGAGGTCAGAGTAGTCCAGGAGGAAAGCAAAGGTCAGAAGCCGGAATAGACAAGAATCACTGGAACGCAGGTACGGAGTAACAGGAACCAAACAAGGGAACCAGAGTCAATGAACTGACACCCCTCCCAGGGTGAGGCAGGCTTTTATATCCTGTTAATTAGGATCAGATTCAGCTGGAGAGTTACTGACAGGTCAGAGCCTTTGGTGAAGTCCAGCCCCCTGGTGCTGCAGGCAATACAAGAATAAACAGGGAGTTATCCAAAGTCCTGAAATGGCTCAGAGGAAGAACAGCAGGATATGGTCCAGAAGAACCACAGTTCAAATCCCCCATCGGGCGCTTCCAGAGCGACCACGTCTGGCAGACTGGATGTCACGGCGTGGACCGTGACAGTACCCCCCTGTCAAGAACGCCCTCCGGGCGTGAACAGGCTCTTCCTGGAAATGGTACTCTTCATCTTCGGTATCAGTATCACTAAGATAGTCTTTGTAATCAAAGTCTACGGACTGGGACTTTATGGTACCAGTTTCGGGTGCTATAGGGGAGGCATTTGCAGCTTTCAAAGCTTTTTCGAATATTTCTAGATCTTGTTTACACACAACTGTGCCATTTGAGGCATAGGTGCAGTCAGGAGGCAGAACTGTTTTGGCAAGGCAGGAGGTGGTGATGGTGCTTGCTTGAACAGAAGTGTTATCAGGAAGAGGTCCAAATTTTTCTAGAGCAAGAGGTGAAGTTTCCACAGAGGTACTGGTAACATTAACGGTATTGGTTTGGGTACCCTTTTGTGTCACAGGACGGGGACAGTTCTGGCAGTGTCCAGGCTGTCTTGCTGGGATGACAGGGTAAGTCCATATGGCACCAGACAGAAGGGGTCTTGTCCTAAGTGGACGAGTCGGGCAGAGCGATATGAAATGCCCTCTTTTCCCACAGTATAGACATAGACCATGGGCTCTCCTGCGGTCTTTTTCCTTCGGGGGCAATCTAGTTCTGGTGAAGCCAATCTCCATGGGTTCCTCCATGTCGACTGGAGTTTCACTGCTAGCTCGAGTGTAAACAGGATTACAAGGCGGGTCCCTGAAAGCGGGTTCATGCTGTAACAAAATGGGATTTTTGTATCCATAAAATAATTCCTCTTCTCTAGGCAACCGGGTTCTGCGAGAACCAGAAATAGGCTTGGAAGTTGCTTTTCTTGCTGTAAAACACTGAGAATCCATTGCAGACATAAACAACTCCCAGGAGTCCAAGACAGTACTTCTCTCCTGTAGCTTCTGGTGTGCCCACGCCTTAATCCGCCCGATACATAGGTTAATAGCGGAGCGTACTTTGATAAAGTCGGTGGCGTAGGTTCTTGATTTCAGGGCAAATAGTAGCTCACAATCCGTCTTGAACATCGGAAAAGTAGAACGGGAACCGTCGAACCTGTCAGGCATAAAGACATACGGTTCTGGGTGTACATGTTCCGGGACTGGAAGCGTTGCTCCTTTAAATGCCAATGAATGTCTCTGTAAATCTGTAACATTCTGGGACAGGTTGGAGACTTGCTCGGCCAGGGAGGTGAGTAACTTGTATAACTCTGCAGACTCCATGGTCAGTTCATCTGTAACGGAGTCTTACCTGATAGGGAGTCCAGCTCGGTTATAACAGTTACTCCGCCCACCCCAGTTGTAGACTACAGGTGGAGGCAAGAACACTTCACACAATTTCCCCAGAAATTGTAACTTTTCTAGTTAAGTGTTCTTGCATAGCAAGACCACTTAATGTTATCTCACATATATATTATTAAGTGTTCTTGCATAGCAAGACCACTTAATGTTATCTCACATATATATTATTATTATTAGTGTTCTTGCATAGCAAGACCACTTAATGTTATCTCACATATATATTATTATTATTATTATTAGCAAAATTTGCCACCCTAACTCCTCCCACAGTTTTTACACTACATAGACAAAAATTTACCAAAACGTGCAGATTGTTCCCGATCGGATTGCTATTACTTTGTGGAACGTTTCGCCGAATGGTTCACGGAATATCGTCATTCTTGTGGCGAAATTTGTCCCATAGGAATGAATGGCAAAGCTAGAGTGGGAGCTGGCAAAAGCTGAAAAATCAGGACATGATTTCTAAACTGCCACCACTCCCTTATTTTCAGGCCCACCTACACAAATCTTATATCAAAACGTTCAGCTATCCCTGCTGCCACTAAACATGTCAACGGCTAAGCCATAGTCCTGATAGTTTTCACAATATAATCATTTGTTTGCAACCAACGCCGTCCATTGACATTCATTGAAACTTCACTCTGCAAAGCTCAAATTTGAAGTGCAATTTCTAAACTGCGACTGTGCCTTCAATTTTAATACTTCAGAGACATACTATGCATCAAAATGTAGGTCTGGGTCTTGTGATTCTCACAATATAAAGCTCTTCACTGTAGGAGTTATAGTTTTTAAGATACGACCGTTTGAAGATGGCAACCGCCAAAATACTCTGACCTGTGTCAAGCTGCAGCAGCAAGTGATGTCATAGACAGGGCCTTTTGAACACCTGCTAATGTTTTTATAAATGTATGGTTTAATGTAACTGTGCAACAACGTTGCAATTAAATGTGCTATGTAAATGATAACAGTTACTCCGCCCACTCCAGTTGTAGACTACAGGTGGAGGCAAGAACACTTCACACAATTTCCCCAGAAATTGTAGCTTTTCTAGTTATTATTATTCTTATTATAGCAAAATTTGCCACCCTAACTCCTCCCACAGTTTTTACACTACATAGACAAAAATTTACCAAAACGTGCAGATTGTTCCCGATCGGATTGCTATTACTTTGTGGAACGTTTCGCCGAATGGTTCACGGAATATCGTCGTTCTTGTGGCGAAATTTGTCCCATAGGAATGAATGGCAAAGCTAGAGTGGGAGCTGGCAAAAGCTGAAAAATCAGGACATGATTTCTAAACTGCCACCACTCCCTCATTTTCAGGCCCACCTACACAAATCTTATATCAAAACGTTCAGCTATCCCTCTGCCACTAAACATGTCAACGGCTTAGCCATAGTCCTGATAGTTTTCACAATATAATCATTTGTTTGCAACTAACGCCGTCCATTGACTTTCATTGAAACTTCACTCTGCAAAGCTCAAATTTGAAGTGCAATTTCTAAACTGTGACTGTGCCTTCAATTTTAATACCTCAGAGACATACTATGCATCAAAATGTAGGTCTGGGTCTTGTGATTCTCACAATATAAAGCTCTTTACTGTAGGAGTTATAGTTTTTAAGATACGACCGTTTGAAGATGGCAACCGCCAAAATACTCTGACCTGTGTCAAACTGCAGCAGCAAGTGATGTCATAGACAGGGCCTTTTGAACACCTGCTAATGCTTTTATAAATGTATGGTTTAATGTAACTGTGCAACAACGTTGCAATTAAATGTGCTATGTAAATGATAAGTTACTCCGCCCACTCCAGTTGTAGACTACAGGTGGAGGCAAGAACACTTCACACAATTTCCCCAGAAATTGTAACTTTTCTAGTTCTTATTCTTATTATAGCAAAATTTGCCACCCTAACTCCTCCCACAGTTTTTACACTACATAGACAAAAATTTACCAAAACGTGCAGATTGTTCCCGATCGGATTGCTATTACTTTGTGGAACGTTTCGCCGAATGGTTCACGGAATATCGCCATTCTTGTGGCGAAATTTGTCCCATAGGAATGAATGGCAAAGCTAGAGTGGGAGCTGGCAAAAGCTGAAAAATCAGGACATGATTTCTAAACTGCCACCACTCCTTATTTTCAGGCCCACCTACACAAATCTTATATCAAAACGTTCAGCTATCCCTGCTGCCACTAAACATGTCAACGGCTAAGCCATAGTCCTGATAGTTTTCACAATATAATCATTTGTTTGCAACTAACGCCGTCCATTGACATTCATTGAAACATCACTCTACAAAGCTCAAATTTGAAGTGCAATTTCTAAACTGCGACTGTGCCTTCATTTTTAATACTTCAGAGACATACTATGCATCAAAATGTAGGTCTGGGTCTTGTGATTCTCACAATATAAAGCTCTTCACTGTAGGATTTATAGTTTTTAAAATACGACAGTTTGAAAATGGCAACCGCCAAAATACTCTTACCTGTGCCAGGCAGCAGCAGCAAGTGATGTCATAGACAGGGCCTTTTGAACACCTGCTAATGTTTTTATAAATGTATGGTTTTTTTAATGTAACTGTGCAACAACGTTGCAATTAAATGTGCTATATAAACGATAACAGTTACTCCGCCCACTCCAGTTGTAGACTACTGGTGGAGGCAAGAACACTTCACACAATTTCCCCAGAAATTGTAGCTTTCTAGTTATTATTATTCTTATTCTTATTCTTATTATAGCAAAATTTGCCACCCTAACTCCTCCCACAGTTTTTACACTACATAGACAAAAATTTACCAAAACGTGCAGATTGTTCCCGATCGGATTGCTATTACTTTGTGGAACGTTTCGCCGAATGGTTCACGGAATATCGTCGTTCTTGTGGCGAAATATGTCCCATAGGAATGAATGGCAAAGCTAGAGTGGGAGCTGGCAAAAGCTGAAAAATCAGGACATGATTTCTAAACTGCCACCACTCCCTCATTTTCAAGCCCACCTACACAAATCTTATATCAAAACGTTCCGCTAACCCTGCTGCCACTAGAAATGTCCCCGGCTAAGCCATAGTCCTGATAGATTTCACAATATGACCATTTGTTTGCAACTCACGCCTTCCATTGACATTCATTGAAACGTCACTCAAGCCAGCTCAAACTTGAAGGGCAATTTCTAAACTGTGACTGTGCCTTCATTGTTAATATGTCAGAGACATACTATGCATCGAAATGTAGGTCTGGGTCTTGTGATTCTCACAATATAAAGCTCTTCGCTGTAAATACTCTGACCTGTGCCAGGCTGCAGCAGCAAGTGATGTCATAGACAGGGCCTTTTGAACACCTGCTAATGTTTTTATAAATGTATGGTTTAATGTAACTGTGCAACAACGTTGCAATTAAATGTGCTATATAAACGATAGGAGTTACTCCGCCCACTCCAGTTGTAGACTACTGGTGGACGCAAGAACACTTCACACAATTTCCCCAGAAATTGTAGGTTTTCTAGTTGTTGATTATAATAATAAAAGCAATATTGTGAAAAAAAATCATTAACAAACATTGGCAAATATTAAAACAAGAAGACATTCTAAAAGCAATTATTCCTGACAAACTAAACATTGTTTTTAGAGGGGCACCTAATTTTAAATCTATACTCACTAATAATTTTACAAAGATTTGCACTACCCACTGCCTTCCCTCTTTTTTAACTAAACCTAAAGGTTTTTTCAAATGTAATAAATGCATAGTCTGCAAGATTACTGACTGTAAGGTTAAATTTAAAAGTACATATTTTAAATCCACGAACACAAATAAATCTTATTTAATTAAAGATTTTATAAATTGTAATACTAGGAACGTTATATATTTATTAGAATGCCCATGTGGGTTACAGTATGTAGGTATGACTACGCGTTGTTTGAAAATAAAGTTGGCAGAACACTGCCGAAATATAATTAAAGGATACAAAAAAAAAAATCACTCAGTGTCTAAACATTTTATCCAACATGGTAAAAACCCTAAAAATTTTACATTCCTTGGAGAGGTGGTGATATTAAAAAAATCTTAGGAAGTACAGAAATGGAATGGGTTTTTAACTTAAAAAAACTCTTTCCCCACAAGGTCTCAATATAGAGTTTGATCTTCATAATTTTTTATAAATCTATTTATATCTACATTTATATTTATTTCTATTTATTTTTGTCTCTATATTGATTTTTATTTTATTTTTAGATTTATTTGTCTATATTTATTATTTTAATTTTAATATTATTTTAATATTTATTTTTATTTCTATTTTATTTTACTTTTATTTCTATTTAGATTTATTTTTATTTCTATTTATTCATTTTTATTTATTATTTTTTAATTTAATTTTAATTTAATTTTTATATTTATCTTTATTTCTATTTTTATTTCTACTATTTTTATTTACATTTTAATTTTAATTTTAATTTATTTAAATGTTATCTTTAATACTTCTTTCTTAGTGATTATTGCAACTATGCATAGCCATCATGATGTTATTTCAATTATAAACAAATATTTATTAATATTCTCTTTTAGATTTCATTCATAAGGACTATTTATTTACCTATATGTGTATTGTATATATTTATAATGTAGAACGATTATATAATTATGCCTAGCCACTATGGTTTTATTCTTTTTAATAACTAATCTATTAATATTGCCCTTTATATTCACTCCTCAAATATTACTCATTTATTTATGTGTGTATATAATTATTATGCAGCATGTTTATACTTCTTTTTTCTTCTCTTCTCAGAAGTCCGCTCACGTGATACGGAAGTATTCAGAATTTCTCTCTAATGATGTGGCTTGCCTATGAGCATGAAAGGCATGTCACCGGCCATATTCCGCCTCTCATCTGTGTTGCTAAGTACAGATTATGCATAGTGAACAAACACCTCACACATGCGCATTAACAATATAACCACGTGGCACGGAAGTAACGCCGCGCGTCACGTGATGCAGAAGTAATGACACACGTAATATGGTCTACTGGAAAATGTATTAATCTAAAGAATAAAGCTTAGTTTTTACATCTGCAATATACCATAATGTACTGTATATTTTATTTACAAATGGTTTGTTTATATGTCTTTTTTTACATGTCTTATAATCAATTCAATATAATCAATCATGACGTCACTATGGTGCCAAATTCAAACAGCTTAATTGCTATTCGTTCCTTATATAAGATATGAGATGCCAGGTTGATTTTTTTCATTTGTGTCTACTTGAAGAAGCCTTGCAAGGCAAAACGCGTTGTAGATATTTTTATTTATTACCAATAAAGGAATTTTCAAATATCTCTTCTATCTGGAATCCTGATTTACCATCTCAAAGAGGACTAAAGAATCCTAGGTGGGGATACCACCAGCGCCCTATCCATCGAGCAGTAAGTCTGCTCAAACGAATGTGAGTACATCTCCAAAACTATATATCATCTTGTGGTTTTATTTCTACAGTGTGCACTATATTTGGCATTTTTTATCTTCTCGGTTTGGAATCTTTATCATTGCCAATACATCTGAAGTGTTTATTTACCACATATATCCCAGAAGTGGGGGTCATTCCACTTCACACTATACATACCTGGATATAGCTCTGGTAAATGTGAGTAATACTGACTTTATATAAATTTTTAAATACTCCCTATACTATATTGTACCATTGGAGTTCTCTCGTTTAAGTTTTCCATATACCTCTGGAATTACAAGTACTCCACTTCCGAGAATCCTTGATCTTATCCAGTCTGGCTGTTCCCTTCAAGATTTGTTACCTATTATATATATATACACTAGTGTATTTGGACTACATTTGTTTTATTGTATATATATTTTCTGTCATTTTTACTTTGGTATATTCCATTTTATTAAGGCGCAACCTTCTTTTATTTTCTTCCTTTCTGTGCATTAAAGGCTGAGTTTTGGTGAATAAAGCTGGTTGCAGTCCGAGAACTGTGTGTTGTCCAGTTACTGGGGAGGGATAGAGCTATTCATTTCACAGCACCTTGTTCCAGAGTTCCTGTATCACGGATCCAGCAGAGAAAAGTCCTTGTCAGGATTAGAGCTTCGCTACAGAGAGAAAATCATAAAATTCCTTCAGCCCTTGGTAAGAAAATGCCTGCCCGAGGCAATTATTGACCAAAAAGAAACCACAATCCACGGTTAAGATGCAGGAGAAAAAATGATGAACAAGAAGGGTATATGTAGCGGTTACCTCAGTGAGTAGAGGGGTTCCAACCGCTAGAGGGTGTCCTTCTTCCGTTGATTGAGGGGTATTCTCAGCATCCAGCAGTCACCCAAGTTGAGAAGCTCTTAAAAGAGCTAGTGTTATAGCTGTATAGCAGTTTCCCCCAACATGAGACAAGACTCTAGATTGAGGGTGCTGTTTTAATGAGCACACCAGCCTTTCTTTTATACAAGTTTTCCCAACAAGGTTACCACCCACGTGGACATTGTTGGCCACTGAAAATATAAACTTAACAACCAATAGCGTACAGTCACACAGTTACACACTCCCATTTCTTACTGTAAATTCCTCCCCTCTGCTTGGGAGATAATTTAGTTAATTGCTGTATCAACTCAATTATCTCCAAGCGAAAAATCAACTTTTTTTCTCAATTTTTAAAGCTCTAAAACTATACATGTAATTCCAATAAAAGTCACATGTTCTGAACCAGCATAAACAGGGAACAAACATATCCTAAATTCAGATGAATCGGTCCAGTGGTTCGGGCGTTAGCTGAAAATCTTATTTGACCGACCACACACATGTTTTCATGCCCAAAGCAGTTCCACATATTCAGGCTGTGCGGTCGGTCTATCTTTCCCTTCACATAAAGTACCAATTGCATGAACAGATCCGTTCATGCCTACTGTCATTGGATGTGTCCTGTTCGTGAGTTTAGGCTCCAGAAATAGTGCTCCGTTCATATGGTTTTAGCCAACGCACGGAAGGTAAAAGTTTCAGCTGTGTTCGTGGAAAGTGTAGCCGAAAATAGTTCCACGCGTTCGACGACCAAGCACCGCTGAGCATGTTCAGCTAAACAAAATGGCCGCCGTCATGTGTTTGTACAGACGAACGCCGACCACTCTGTTGATCAATTAGAACGTTGAGGTGTTTGTGATTTTAGAGGTGTTAAGCAGGTCAGGGAGGTTAATAGGTGCCACAACTCTGTTCTGGGTGGTCGGTCGTTCAGCTGAAAATTTGTGAAACGAACGGATCTTAGCATAATCACAGGTCCATTCATTTTAGGTGAATGGTTTAAACTAACAGTTTTTTCCCAGTTACAAAACCAGGGACAGAGGGTCTGTCACAGTATACCACTCTAAATAAAATGATTTTATAGATAGGTCAACCCAAAACACTATTCAGGAAAGGAAAAGAGAGAGAGGGGTAAAGAGAAGGGGAAAAATGAAAATAAATAAAAAGATTATTTTTCCTTCTCTCTCTCTCCTCTCCCCTCCCCCTCCCATAACAGGAAAAGAAAATAAATTTCTTTATAATTATATTTTAATTTACTATTTGAATATTAATCTAATTTGAGACACAATTCAAGTCGCCTCCCTTTTCAACCACTTTTACTCAGAAATTTGAAAAAAATTATCTAAAATTAAGAGATAGAGATTAAGTTTTAACAGAAAGAGAGAAGATGAGTGCATTTTAGTTTAACAAGCAATTCAGGTAACATCCCCCTTTTTTTTATTTTGTAGTTTTGCAACATTAACATATCATATATGCAAGAATTTTAGGTATGAGTTATATAAGGATACAGAATATAAAAAATTGGAATTTTCTTAAAGACACGGAGGCTCCTATTATGCTTCTCTTTCTTTAATTTTCCCTCAGCAGCGAAGAGAGAAATGAATGTAAAAGAGAAAAAATAGCATATCATTAACATATATACATATTCAACAGTGCTACTAATAGGAACCACCCCGTTTTAGTATATAAGGTGTAGCACTCTCTTCCTCTTCCTTTGCTGCTCCCTCAGACCAGCTAAGTACATTTTATTCTCTTGCTTGTTCCATATTTTTGTCACTTGAATTTACAGTTATTATCCCCTTTTGCTAATAAGGGTTTGTTACTGTTCTTTTCCTACACTTGTAGATTTGTCCTTTATACTGTGTTACTATTCTGTATGTTCCTGGGTCCTGGAGTGGGTCCAGGGCTGTTTCTATTCCCCTCCGTTATTGGGTTGCCTTGGCTCCCTCCCTATACCGACCGGGTCCATCCCGTGTCCCCCCCACCCCTCCTCCCCAACACTCGCGGCGGCCATCTTTTTGGTTTTCTGTCGCCGCACGTGCCGGCGGCCATTTTAAGTCACCTTCTACTGCGGTTTTCGGTTATGTGGAGGCTACACTCTACACTGCTCCTGCCACCCACACAGGACCCGGGTATTTTGTCTGCAACTCTGTCCTGTGCTTGGATTAAGCAATCCAGCACCTTCTTTTTTATTTCTTTCATACCTATTGCCTACTCCATTTCTGCTATCATGCAGTCTGCTAGTGGTGATTTAACTGACCCCCCTACCCCCCCTAGGGGCACCACAAGCTCTGATCCCCAGGCTGACCCTAGCCTCATAGGCTCTGAGGATTTCCAAAGCCTCCTGGACGCCACTATGTCCAATTCCATCAGTAAGGCCATCTCCTCTGCCATGGGAGCTATGTCCTCCAGTATTTCATAGTCCATCTCCCAGGCCCTTAGGCAGGCCCTCCCTGCTCAATCTGGGTTAGTACAGTCTCATACTTCCCCTGAAGGGACTACCTCAGGACGCAAGGCGCTAGGCAAGCGCAAACACGCTCATGACCCCCCCACACCCAGGTAAAGCCTGGCTTGATTGACACGCCTCAGGCAGTCTGTGATGGCGCGCAACAACCGCGCAATAGAGCTACTGGCCGGGCTACGGCGGCCAGAGAGTGGAAACGGGCACGGGCCCATGATTTCCTGTCTGATTCAGACGAGGATGGGGAGGAAGGGTCAGATGACCAGTACTCAGATCCCTACGGGGAGGAGACCTCAGGAGATGAGGATCTCCCGGGAACACAATTCCCTTCTAGACCGGCTCAGGCCAAAGTACAGTCGGGGACTCCTGAGGCAGAGTCAACCCGTGACGCAAAGGATACCCTTGCGTTTGATCCAGACAATCTCAGGCACCCTCGCTCCGCTGAATGGGAGCCCGCTGAGCACATCGTTCAATACCTGGCTCTCAGAGTCTGCAAATCCCTCTCACAAGAGGGTCGTAACAAACTGAGAGCAGAGTGCCCCGACCTATCATACCTGATGCAGTGGCAAAAACCCCTGAAGTTGACCCGCAAATTGTGCAGTTTCTGGCCAAGACTGGTTGGAAGCCCAAGAAGGGCCTAGATTACTCACTACGCAACTGTCGGGACAAGTTCCTCGACACTCTGGGCCTGGTCACCAAGCTGTACGAATTGCTTGAAACAGCTCAGTCGGGCGAGGCACAACTGGATTTTGAGGTGGCGTTAGGATGGCTCCAACGCCTCGTATGCATGATTGGCAACCAGCGCAGGAAGGCCATCCTGCTAAAGTTAGAGCCCAAGCTTGCGAGCATGGCCCCCAATGAACCCGGTGCCTCTGCGAAAGGCTTACTGTTTGGAGAGTCCTTCGTGAAGGACCTGGGCTCCTATGTCAAGACCTTTACGGCTTTGGACAAAGCCCAATCTTCCATCAAACAGGTGTTTAGCCCAAAGGTTTTTGGCGGGGCCGGTAGAGGTAGGAGCCGTCTACCCGGCCGCAACCCCCGGGGTTTTTCCAGACCGGGAAGAGGCTCCTTCAACCCCCAGAGGCCGAATCAGGAACGGTCCTACACCCCGTTCTTCCCTTCACGAGGACGCCTTGGCATACCCGCGGCAGTCGAGGAACACCCACGGGAAAATGCCCTTATGGTGAGTACCATTTTTCCCCATTTTTCCCATATAAATGTGGGGGGCAGACTGGCCCTGTTCTATTGGGCTTGGTCTATGATCACGTCCGACAGTTGGGTGTTACAGACGGTAGAGGGATACCACCTAGAACTGACAGCTTTTCCCATTCAGGGCACTCCCCCAAGGGCAATCCACATGCCAAAATCACACCTCGACCTCATCTCTGCGGAGATCAGAGAATTACAGACCAAGAAGGCCATAGAGGAAATCCCTCTAGATACTCCAGGTTTTGTGAGCAACCTGTTTTTAGTGCCAAAAAAAGGAGGCGGGGTTCACACGGTTATAAACCTACGACCCCTAAATGCCTTTGTCCAATACCGGCACTTCAAGATGAAGGGTATACATTGCCTCAGAGACCTGCTCCTTCCCGGAGATTGGATGGTCAAACTGGACTTGCAGGACGCATACCTGACAGTCCCGATAGCGGCAATACACAGAGATCTACTCCAGTTCCATTGGGGAACAAAGAAGTGGCGGTTCACATGCCTTCCCTTCGGTCTGTCCTCCGCCCCCCGGTGCTTCACAAAGATACTCAAACCAGTGGTGGCTTTTCTCAGACTACACGGAGTCTGCCTTATCATTTATTTGGACGACATCCTCCTGCTCTCCGGGACAAGGTCCCTACTGCTAGTTCATTTAAAGTGGACCTTACATCTTATCCAGAACCTGGGCTTCCTAGTGAACTGGAAGAAATCGGTTCTAATTCCCTCACAACAAATGGAATTCTTAGGATTCCGAGTCGACTCCGTTCTACAGATCCTATGCCTCCCGGCGGAAAAGATGTCCAACATCAAGAAAGAGATAAGGAGACTTATGCATCAGCCAGACATCTCCTTACGCCAACTGGCACGGGTCATTGGACTGTTGGCGGCCTCCATCCAGGCGATTTTTCCAGGCCCGCTCCACTACCGAGCATTGCAGCGTCTGAAAGCGACCTGCTTATGGAGTGGCCACTCTTACGAGTCTGTCGTCTGCTTAAGGGTGTCTGCTTCTCACGTCCTCCTACATCCAAATACGGATCCTTCTGGGATGTCAACTGCGTGTTCAGACTCCTAGATGGCTGGCCCTCTAACCTAGAGTTGTCCTTTAAACAATTATCGGCAAAACTGCTTATGCGGTTCTGCCTATTATCCTGTAAACGAGTGTCAGACGTAAGAGCCTTGGACTGGCGGGCCCGCACGTTCACTCTGGAGGGAGTGTCATTCGATATCTCACGGAGAACAAAATCAGCAACTAAACAGGTTTTTTATCCGAGAATCACGAGTTTACCCAACCTATGCCCAATATCATGCCTGAAAGAATACGATTCTTGCACCTCTACTCTACGGCCATTTGATGACGGACCTCTGTTCACCTCCCCGAAGAAACCACATCTATCTGTATCTACTCCAACACTCGCACGTTGGATCAAATGGCTATTAGCTACAGCTGGGATCGATGTCTCGGTATTCTCATCCCACTCCGTCAGGGGTGCTATGGCCTCTAAAGCATCGGCGGCTGGATGTCGCTTGGAAGACATTTTGAAGGCTGCAGATTGGTCTACGGAATCCACATTCCGGAACTTTTACTTTAGACCTATAGAACATTTTTCTGATAAGATTATAGCTCAGCTTTAAAATAGCATAATATTGTCAGACTGTATGCCTAGTCTAGGTTATACATTAAGTTTGTATGTTTTTCATGTCAGGATGTTATGACGTTGATTTTTATCCGGATCTAGATAGATAGAACAATAGATATGCTGGGGTATGTTACCATATTTCTCCTCTCTTTTAGCCTGAATTCCCATGTCGGAGTGATCGAAGAGGTTTAAAGGTCGGCTTTACCGTTTTCCCCTAGTAAGGGATGTACGACTTTTCCGATGTTACAGTTTCGGTTCAGAGCTTTTTGTTCAGTTTTGACTGGTCTTCGGATCGCTACAGAAAGAGGAAGAGGAAGAGAGTGCTACACCTTATATACTGAAGGGGGGTGGTTCCTATTAGTAGCACTGTTGAATATGTATATATGTTAATGATATGCTATTTTTTTCTCTTTTACATTCATTTCTCTCTTTGCTGCTGAGGGAAAATTAAAAAAAGAGAAGCATAATATTCGCCTCCGTGTCATTAATAAAATCGTGACTTTACGTCATGTTAATAGTAAAATCTTGGAATTGTTAGCATTTGTTTTGTCATAAGTTGACAATATATTCAGATAATACAGATTATACTCGCAGGTGTAACAGTATATTTGTATACAGTATTATTTCACACACTGTGGGGCGCAACTACTGCTGGACGATGTATTAATCATTTTGTATTGCCATGATGGTTACTTGCCACTTGGTCACATTCCCCATGAGGTTAGAGGGGGGGAAAGAGGAGGAGGAATATGAGAGAGTGTGATTGGGGTTTTCATGAAGGGTAAGGGGGAAGAACAAGAGATGGAAGAGTGTGAAAGAGAATAAAAGAGAAGAAAAGAAAAAAGAAAAGAAAAGAAAAAAAGAAAAAAAGAAGAGAAAAGAAGAGAAAAGAAAAGAAGAGAAAAGAAAAGAAGAGAAAAGAAAAGAAGAGAAAAGAAGAGAAAAGAAAAGAAAAGAAAAAGAAATAGGAAAAAATATATATTTTATACAAGGCATGAGGAGGGTACTGATGATTAGGAGGAGTAGCAGTAGGAGTATAAGAGTGTTTTCTGTGTTTTTGACGTAGAAAGGTTACCTTTCCAGAAAAGAAGAGAGAGGGGGGAAGAGTCCCCCACGTTGCATCAAGTCCAGACCCCTAATGGGCTGTGGGAATTCATAGATCCAAGAGTCATTTTGTTAAAATGTTTTGTGGTATTGTGGATTAGGGCGGAGAGTTTATCCATTGTCATTGCCTCTTTTTATAGTGTCTATGTAGGGGACTTCGGGGCTTCCCCATCTTTCCACCACTGCACGCCTGGCCGCTAGTGCAATCTTTGCTATGAGTTTATTTTGTGCTCTGGTGTGTGTTTGTGTGGTTTGGAGAGGAGCCGTATCCATGGGTATGGTTGTGTGGAGTATTGTGGACACCAGTTGAGAGACCTGAAGCCACAGTTGGTGTATATCCGTGCACTTCCACCACATGTGGATGTAAGTGCCTTTATCCCCACATCCCTTCCGGCACATGTCCATGTCCAGAACAGACATGGATCTGTGCTGGAAGGAATGTGGGGGAAAAGGTACATCTGCTTCCACCTGAGATGAGTGAGGTACCATCTCAATAGGGTTTTGTAGACTTTTTCCTTATGGTTGACACAAATGGATATCGTGACCGTGGTTTCCCATATATCTCCCCAGTCCGACGTGTTTTCTGAGGGTCCCAGGTCTCTCTCTCCCCCTCTGTGTTGGCCTGGGTGGTATGGGAGTACATCATAGAGATTTGTCCTTTTCGGACAGGACATGCCATGCTTGCTTTTTCAAAGGAAGTGAAGGGGGTGGAACCTACTTTTTTAATGTCAGGGATATTTTGGAAGCTTTTTATTTGTAGGTATCTGAAATGGTCAAAGGTGGTGAGTGGGGTGTTTCTCGGTAAGTCGTTAAATGGTATAATTTGGTTGTCTCTGTAAAAGTGGTGCAGTCTGACTAGGTCATTGTGTCCAAATTGGGCAAAATTGTCAGAGTTCAGGCCTGGGGTGAATAGTGTATTGCATAGACATGGGGAGCATTTGCGGGCTTGCTTGTCCTAAGTCCTAATGGAGAGGAGCAGGGCTGGTGATGTTGGGGGAAGGAGTGGTGGGGCAAGCTTCGGTACCCACATGCAGAGTGAAGGTAGATCATTTTACAATGTCGTGTTCTAAATCTACCCATCTCTTGAGTCCAGCTGGGGCGTATAAGTTTTGCATAGGGGATAGTTGTGCTGCATGATCTTTTGATCCTGGCTCTTTTGTTTGCCCACAAAAATTTGTCAATTTGTGTTTGCAGTAGTTTGAAGTCCAGTACAGATATTTGGATAGGGTGGACAGTGCGGTCCATGTTTTTAGTTCTGTGAGTCCTTTTGAGATTGTGGTATGTAGTTGAGTCGGTATGTCTGAGTAAGGTCGGTAGATGTATACAAGTAGTGAATACTAGTGGTTTGGAATGTGAAGGGGTATCTCTGTTTCAGATCGTATTAAGTATTGGGATCTAAGTGTATGGGAAGGGCTTCCATCTTGTCAATGGTCAGCTTATAGCCGGAGATAAGTGCACAAGTCATCTAGAACCATCATCATTATCAGTACCAACCCTCCTCATGCCTTCATTCTTTCCTTGTATAAAATATATTTCTTCTCTTTCTTTCTTTTCTTTCTTTCCTCTCTTCCCCCTTTCTTTCTCACTCTCTCTTTCTCTCACACTCTTCCATCTCTTGTTCTTCCCCCTTACCCTTCATGAAAACCCCATTCACACTCTCTCATTCCCTCTCCTCTCTCTCCCCCTCTAATCCCATGGGGAATGTGACCAAGTGGCAAGTAATCATCATGGGGTTTGTGATGGTGATTAAACGGTTATCCACATAAGTAACCATCATGGAGTTTGTGATGGTGATTAAAAAGTTATCCACATAAGCTGCAGTTTTGTAAGTTTCTCCCCTGATCTGTATGCCTGAGATTATTGGGTGTTTCGCAATGTCTGTAAAAGTGGTTCTAGGGATAGGGCAAACAGAATAGGGGAGAGAGGGCATCCCTGTCTAGTGCCATTACGGATATCAAAGGATGGGGGAGTGGTAAGGGGAAGTAGTAGCGTAGCTGTAGGTTTGGAATACAGGGTGGTCAGTACATCCATGAAGGTCTGAGGGAAGCCAAATTTGCGGAGGGTGGCTAATAAGAAGGGCCAGAGTAGTCTTTCAAATGCCTTTTTGATGTTGAAGGATAAGAACAATGTTGGGATGCATCTGTTTGTGACGGCCCATATGAGGTCAAAGGTGCATCTAATGTTGATCTTGGTGTACCAGTGTCAGAAATAGCTGATGCCCAAAACACAGAACTTAAGTAGAAATTAAGAAAACTCCTAAAACGTATTACCAGGGCCTTAGAATGGCTGGATTTAACGTATAAAGGAAAAAAAACACAAGACAGGATAAAGACAAGACGTAGAAAAAACAGAAACGATGAACAAGCCACAAGTCAAGGAATGGAAATGTCAGAATAGTCAGGAGTCAAGCCATAGGTCAAGGAATACAGAGATCAGATAGTCAAAAGGGAAGCCAAGGTCAAATACACAAGAATCAATATAAGGAACACGCTCTAGGATAACCACAATGGAAACCACGACAGGGCACAGAGAAATGGACAAAACAGGCTTATACAGTCTAAGGTGCTCCCTGATTGGCTGCAGGGAAGCATGTGATCATGGGCGTGAGTGTGATCCACCTACATGATTAAATATGATCTGGCACTTTAAGGGTTAAACAGAAAAAAACCTTAAATTCTTCAAAGCTGCAGAGGCCGGCATCTCTAATGTTTACAGACCCAGCCTCTGTGAGAGGAGGAGGAGCCACCACTTGGGGTGAGTGATAGGCAGCATTCCCATAACCACGTGGGAATGCCGTCAGACCAAGATGTGCCAGTTAGGAGACCGGCGGCATTCCCTTTAGTGTGTGGGAATGCCACCACAACGATGCACGCGTGACAGTACCCCCTCCCAGAAAACCGCCCACCGGGAGGGAAGGGGCTGGCTTATTGGGAAACTGGACATGAAAAGCGTGCAGCAAATGAGCTGTGTGGACATCGGAGGCAGGAATCCAGAAATGCTCCTCCGGCCCATAACCCTTCCAATGAATCTAATACTGCAACACACCCCGTGACCACCTGGAGTCTACAATCGATTGAATCTCATACTCGTCTTGGCCATCAACGGACACAGGAGAAGGACGAAACGAGCGCCTGGTGTAACGATTGCGCCTGGTGTAACAGTATATATGGAAAGCCTTGTGTCCAACAACATAACTAGGTGCTATAGAGCGACGTTTGTCAGCATAGGTCTTATGACGAGAGGAAGTACGCTGCACAAGCTTCCATCTATCTTGAAGATCATGAAGGTGGCAATCAAGAGCGGGTAATCCTGTCTCATGAAACTGAGAAGGAAAAACAAAGGGGGGTCTACCACATGTAATGAAGAAAGGGCAATGCTGGGAGGCGTTGTGTGTAGCGTGATTACGTGCGAATTCAGTATAAGGCAAGTGGTCATACCAGTTGTCATGGTTGTGTGATATGAAACACCTCAAAAAGACCTCAATAGATTGGTTAACCCTTTCTGTAGCCCCGTTGGTCTGGGGGTTATACGATGAAGTTCAGAACAAAACGTCTTCCAAAATCGTGAAATAAACTGTATCCCTCTATCAGATACAATTTCTTGTGGCAACCCCTGAATCTGTATTTCTTTAATAAAGATATGGGCTAACTCAGCAGAGGTAAGCAGTTTATGGAGAGGAATTAAATGGACCATTTTCGAGAAAAGATCTACCACTGTTAAGATGGTAGTATGTCCCTTGGATGGTGGTAGATCTACTATGAAGTCCATTGCAATGTGGGACCAAGGATTTTCAGGAACAGGGAGTGGCTGTAAGAGACCACACGATAGTTTACAAGGGGTCTTGGTCATAGCGTAAACGGTACATGCTTGGACATAATCTATCCAAAATATATGGCCACCAGAACGGTCTAGATATGGAGAACAAGATTTTACGATTTCCTGGATGGCCGGCTGACTTGGTATCATGGTACAAGGAGAGTATTGCAGTCCTCTCTGTAGGTGACACAAACAATCTATTGTTAGGTTTGTCGTCAGGAGCCTGGAGTTGAGTATTATGCACCTTGTCCATCAATGAGAACGACATGGTTAATATGTTGGTAGCCACTATACGTTCTGGTGGTATGATAGGAACGACTTCTAGATCCCAATCAGAGTTGGTTTCGAACTGTCTTGATAAGGCATTAGCCTTAGTATTATGAGAACCAGGCCTATATGTGATAATATAGTTAAAACAAGAAAGAAACAAGGACCATCTAGCCTGTCTAGATGAAAGCCTCACATACAAGGGGTCAAATTCTTGTGGTCTGTTATAATCATTATGGACACTTTAGCTCCCTCTACCAAGTGTCTCCACTTGCAATGCGAGGATTATAGCTAATAATTCCCTGTTCCCTATATCATAATTAACCTCTGCCGGGGCAACCTTTTTAGAGAAGAAGCCTGGAGTGGAGATGGAGTGGAGTGTCTTGGGACTCACGTTGAGAGAGGACAGCTCCAACCCCTGTCTCCGAAGCATCAACCTCTAATACAAAAGCCTTGGAAGGGTCAGGATGCATGAGCATCTGGGCTGTTGAAGGGAGTGTTTTCAGTTGCTCAAAGGATGACAGAGCTGCGGGAGGCCAGACATGGGTTTCAGCCCCTTTACGTGTGAGACTAGTAACGGGAGATATGACCGTGGAGAATCACTTTATAAATCTGCGGTAATAGTTGGTGAAACCAATGACTCTTTGGATGGCTTTAAGACCTTTAGGTCTGGGCCATTGCAAGACCGCCTGAAGTTTTTTGAGATCCATTTCAAAACCCTTGGCTGAAATAATGTAACCCAAGAACTGTACCTCTGTCTGGTGGAATAAACATTTCTCTAATTTACAATATAAACCATTCTATAATAGAGTAGTAAGTACTTGGGATACATGGACGTAGTGGGCAGTAATGTCTGGGGAATAAATGAGGATGTCATCTAGATAGCCTAGAACACAAGAATAAATGTATTCCCTTAAGACATAATTAATCAGGTCTTGGAAAACCACCGGTGCATTGCACAATCCAAAAGGCATTAAGATATTAGTAATGTCCACTCCTTGTATTAAACGCGGTTTTCCATTCATGATTTTCTTTTATCCTGACAGATTATATGCACTCCTGAGGTCTAATTTCGTAAACACAGTAGCCCCCTTGAGTCTATTGAATAGTTCTGTGATAAGAGGAATTATATATACGTTCCTTTAGTGATCTTGTTAAGATCTCTATAATTGATGCACGGTCACAGGTCTCCCTCTTTCTTAGACACAAAGAAGAATCCTGCACCAGCAGGAGAGGAAGACCTAGGTATGAAACCCTTGGCAAGAGCATCCTGGATATACTCTTCAATGATTTCACTCTCATGGGGGATAGAGGATAGTGCCTGGAAGAAGGTCAAGGGCACAATCATAAGGTCGGTGCGGGGGTAACGTCTCAGCATTGGTTTTGTTAAATACTTCCTTAACATGGATGTATTGCGGAGGGACCACTGTGGATAAGGGAGCCGTCGTGGGTACATTGATACGACCTATAGGTTTAACTGGGAGAAGACATTGTTCATTGCAGGTAGTACCCCATGAATGAATCTCACCCTTAACCAAATCTAAGACCGGATTGTGTTTTACCAACCAGGGAAACCCAAGAATGACAGGACATGAATGAGTGCAAATAACCTGTAGAGCTATGTTTTCTCTATGCAGTATTCCAATAGACAAGGATAATGGAAGGGTCTCATGGGTTATAAGAGGTGTCAGAAGGGGTCTACCATCTATGGCCTCAACGGCCAAAAGGTATGGATCTCTCCCTCACGGGTTCACAAATTTCTTGTCAATTAAGTTTTCAGCAGCTCCTAAATTGATAAGTGCTTTACAATGTATGTTATGAGCAACCCACGATAATACTACAGAAAGTAGGAATCAGTTGTGAGGCAAGGTAGAGGACAATTTTATAACACCTAAGGCCGTTTCTCTAATGGTGCTTAGGTGCTGAGGTTTTTCCGGATGTATTGGGCAATTTAGACGCAGATGTCCCTTTTTAGCACATTACAGGCATAAACCCTCAGCTTCTGACAGCTTCGTCACTCCCAGTTGCATAGGTTCGGTTTCGATGGCAACTGCAGGAGCAGATGGAGCTATATGAGAGGCTGAGGGAACAGGGGTGTGGACAGTCCGTGTCCTAGTTTTTAGCCCTCTGTCTAAGGTGGTCATCTATATCCTTCATATATAGGATTTAGTCTTCCAGCAAATCCGGAAGATCCTTAGCCACTTTTTCATAAAGCCTCAGAGAGACCTTCCGAAAAAGTGGTTACCAAACCACTGTTAGTCCAATCAACCTCAGCCGCCAGCGTGCGGAATTCTATGGCATAATCCGCAACGGATCTATTGCCCTGTTTTATCCGCATTAACGCCATGGCTGCCTTTTTACCTTTCCCAAGGGGTTCAAAAGATCTCTTTAATTCAGTGATGAATTCCATGTAGTTGTGAGCTACGGTTCTCCCACTCTCCCATAAGGGCTTAGCCCAGGCTAGAGCTTTTGCCGGATAGCTGATTCATTAAGTATCCGATCTTAGCCCTGTCAGAAGGGAAAGAACCAGGAGATGCCTCAAACTGGTTCTCTATCTGGTTTATAAAACCCCTACACTCCTGTGAATCACCACTAAATCTAGGTGGAGGGGATAGGCTTATAGTCGGAGCCCTTTGACCACTGGATACTGTGAAGTCTGGACAGATGGTGTCTCTACTTGGAGGTGTGCAGTGCGAGCCAATAAAGTCTAAAAGGCCAGGGCAAACTGATCCATGCGATGATCATGTTCCTCCAGCTTAGATTACCTGAATACTTAAGTCTGCAGGGTCCATGGCCCTGTCGTAATGTCAGCAATAGCTGATGCCCAACATGCAGAACTTAAGTAGATATGAAGAAAACTCCTAAGACGTATTACCGTGCCTTAACGTATAAAGGAAAAAACCACAAGACAGGATAAATACAAGACGTAGAAAAAACATAAACTATGAACAAGCCACGAGTCAAGGATTGGAGATATCAGAATAGTCAGGAGTCAAGCCAAAGGTCAAGGAATACAGAGACTGATGCAGCCATTAGTTTTGCTGCATCAGGAGTGAGTGAAAGTAACAATATCGAGTTTAGGTATTGGTCCGTAAGGTCTGTGATCGTGGTAGGGTTATGGCGTGTAGTTGGGTTGTGGTCATATAAAGATGAGTAGTCCTGGAAAACTTTGGCTACTTGGTCTGGCTTTCCCCGAGTTTGTCCATCGGGATCCGTAATTTTGTCAATGTGTTTGTGTGCAGTTCGTTGTTTCAGTCTGCGGGCTTATAGTGTGTCTGCTTTGCTTGATTTTTCATAAAATAGTTGTTTGGTCTATTGGATGGTTTTGGCAGCGAGAGATTTGAGTGTTCAGGTCGGGAGTCAGGCTTTATTCATGCATGAGTTCCAAGGAGCAGAGTTCTTTTAGGGTGTGTTCCAAGTGTGCTAAGTTTCTCTTTTTATCAGCTGAAGCTGAGCTGATCTAGGTGCCTCTTATTACGGTTTTGTGCGCTGCCTATAGTGTGCTTTTGGATGTTACTGAGTCCGTATTGAGAGTGCAATAATCTTTTATTGCTTTTTGGGTGGATTCTTTAACAGAGGGATTGTGTAGTAGCGTGTGGTTGAGGCGCCCAGACCATGGGCGCGCTACGTTGGGGATTGAGAATGCCAAAGATATGTCAGCATGGTCTGACCACGTAATAGAGCCTATATTGGTTGATGTGACCATATTCAGAAGGGAGGGAGAAACCAGAAAATTATCTATACGAGAATGGGATTGGTGGGTGTGGGAGAAGAAAGTGTAATAGCGGGTTGTCGGGTGTTGTGCATGTATCAGGTTCAGTTGTGATGTAAAAGAATGGAGTAGTTTTTCAAATTTAGCCCCCCTCTATATAACCAGATTTATGTTGGTTATGTAAGGGGGTCTTGGCTCTCCGCCTATCTATCGTCGGTGCCATTGTGGCATTAAAATCGCCCCCAACGATAAGATGATGGGAGGGGAAAAGTGTAGAGTTTGCCAATATGCACTAAATGGTGTATTGGGTAGAGTTGAGCGGACACCTGGATGTTTGGGTTCACCAAGTTCGGCCAAACTTCATAAAAAAGAGTTCGGGCTCGAACTTGACCCAAACCCCATTGAAGTCAATGGGGACCCGAACTTTTGGGCACTAAAATGTCTATAAAAAAGTCCTGGAAAGGGCTAGAGGGCTGCAAAAGGAAGTAAAATGGGGGTAAGAGTAGGACAAGTGCCCTGCAAACAAATGTGGATAGGGAAATCACTTAAAATATACAGCTGAGCCATAAAATAGCACTAGATAGAATCTTTGATTTTAGCTTTGGAAGAACATAAATCAAAATCTAAAGCATGGCTGTCAGGAGGATCACCAGAATTATCCATTTGAGAGAGGGTTGGAGTGCAGGGTATTCTCTTTCATTGTTCAAACTGAGCTCAACTCCTGATGCATGGAGAAAAGGCCTTCACAAGCCTCTGCTATTGTGTACATAGTTTATACTAAGTGACCCATAGGTTGAGGAGGTGGTGACCGTGGCGGTGTAGGTGGAAGCGGCGGTGTAGGAGGAGGAGGTAGCCAACACTGTTTTTTATTTGTTTGGTTTTTTTTTTTATTATTGGGGTAGCCCCCAAAATTTTGGGACATATAAAAAAAGAAACATTTACGGCCTGCGGTGCATTTCTTGCAGTCCAATAACACCATCAGGTTTTTAAAACTGTCCGTCTCCACCAGACGGAAAGACAGCATTTGAAGGACAGGAATTTTGAAATGCTGGCATTCAGGGCCAGGGATCGCAGGTGAGTAGGGGGGTACTTCCTCTTTCTCTCTAGTGTTTGGGAAATGGACAGCTGAACGCTTCTGTAACGGCTCCCCGGGCATAAAAGGGGGTTAAAAGACGTTTAGTAGATCTTCCCTTCCAGAGACACAGGCACAGCTACTGCAGAACCCCAATCCGCCGAACAGGAAAAGCATTTGAATGCCGTAAACAGCCGAACCGGAACCATACGAATGCTGTAAACAGCTGAATAGGAAAAACCATACAAATAGAATTACACTCCTAGCAGTCAAACTGGAACAACATACAATAAATCCCCCCAAGAACGAGACAAGGCTCAGTTTTGAGGGTCAAGCAGTGAACAGACAGAGCTGTGGGTTTATTGTTCTTATATACACATTAGTACAACCCACAGGGTTTTGGAACACAACCAATAAACACATACAATACACTCAGACACTCCCACACAAAATCCTCCCCTCTGCCTGTGATACAATTACCTTACACAATGGGTAATGTAATTATCACAAGCAGAGAAATACAATTTTTCCACATTATTCATAACTTGAAAAGTATGCATCACATTCACATAAAATATTTTCAGAATCGGCATACTCCAAATACAAACATATGTCAAAATCATCCAAATTGGTCCAGTGGTTCAAAAGATAAATCGTAGTCCTTTGTGACCAAAGGAAGCATGGCTTTTCTGCCCAAAACCAGTTCCACAGAGTCTTCTATCCTGGAGATAATTGGGAAGTAATCCAATTATCTCCAAGGACAGAGGCAAAACTCCATTGAACACATGGCAACAAAAGACAATAAAACACATAAAAACATAACTGTGCAGCCATTGCACAAAACAGGTACATTCAACATATCACCAGATAGCTCAGATCTGAGTGCACATTATTACTGAATGGCGCTCAGAGCACACACATACAGTTCAATTGCCATGGAGCCAAAGTCTTTCCCATAGTCTTTCATTATACGAATGGGCTCCATGGCATAGCTATCTGGGGTATCACTGCTCAAACAGGGCCAGCACCGAATGACCCGGCTTTCGTGTCTTTGCAGGGGAAAATCAAGCAGTTCAACATGGGGCCATAGTCTAAAGGCAGCAGGCGGGCAACCAGGCTCCTCCAATGCACAGTGGCGAGATTGGCCTCGTCACAGCTTCCATGGGACAGTGTGGAGATGCTGGACAATTGTGTACCTGGCCTTTTCTGGTGCAGGAATCCAGCCTATGAGCCACTTGTGAATGACTAGTCTGATAACCATGGAAATGACCCCTCTTCCTCCTCCTCTTCCTCCTGTGCCACATCCTCTTCCATCATCGCCCAAAGCATTTTTTCAAGGAGCCATAGAAGCGGGATAGTAAGGCACTGGCCATGTTGGTGGAGTACTCGAAACAGCGCAACATGGCACACAGGTCTCGCATGGAGGTCTACTCATTGCTGGTTGTGACGGACCGCTGGCACTTCGACTGAGTACCTCCGCCAATCGATGCTCCTAGTGCTTGCTGAGGACTCCGAGCACTCCAACTGACACCATCAGCTCTGTGGACCCCAGTTCCAGTGATGCAGCTGCGCAAGGGGTCTCGCCATCTCTCACCCACCCTGGATCCATGACCAGGATCCAGCTCCCAGTGGGTGAACTTCTCCTAAATCCAGAGAGCGTAGCAGGAACAAATCAAGCTCTTACAAGAGCTTACTCTGGGGAGTAAGTGATTATAGCAATCCCCAGAGTGTAGGTATCCCTTCCCCCAAGCATGAGCCAAGGTTTCAAGAAAGGTGCAAGCAGGTCTGGTTTATTGAGGGCTACCTGCCCGGTATTTATGCAAGTGTCCACCAGGTGGACACTCCCCTAGGGGACCTGATGGAACAATGGGACACATATTGGATATTAGCCAATCACAGACAATACAAACTAATCACTCCCACAGTGACATCACAATGCCTACTCTCTATCCTGGAGATAATTGGGAAGTAATCAAATTATCTCCCAGGACAGAGGCAACCACATGGTTACAAAAAGACATAAAATTACACAATGTTACAAAACATATACATGCAACATATCCCCAGATAGCTTAGATCTGAGCGCACATTATTACCAAATGGTGCTCAGATCACCTACATACAGTTCAATCGCCATGGAGCCAAAGTCTTTTCCATAGTCTTTTGTTACAAGAATAGGCTCCATGGCATAGCTATCTGGGGTAGCACTACTTACATACTGAAAGTCTCGAACTCCCCAGCAGAAATACACAAACACACCTTTCTGAAGGGGAAAATACAGCTATCAGCACAGGGGCCATAGTCGGAAGGCAGGAGGCTAGTGGTGAAGTGGTGGTGTTCCGCAGAGCGACTGACCCGTGTGTGCTGCAGCTGAAACTCCACTATCACCTGCTGCTGCTCGCACAGTCTCTCCAGCATGTGCAAGGTGGAGTTCCACCTTGTGGGCATGTTGCATATGAGTGCAGACAGGCGAGCAGCAACAGGGTGAGAACGCCGAAAGCACGCACAGCAACTACAGTGAAACTGCGAATGGCTCATTAAATCAGTTATGTTTCATTTGATCGCTCCATGTGTTACTTGGATAACTGGTAATTCTAGAGCTAATACATGCCGATGAGCGTTAGGAGACGGCCGCTCCGCTTTTGCACCCTGCTGCCTCTTATGCTGTGCTGGTGCCTCTGTGTGACCACTGCCTCTTCCTCCAAACTGCACACGTCACTCGCATGACCTTCATTCCATGTAGGGGTCTAGGACCTCATCATCCACCACATCATCTTCCACCCACGCCTCAACCCTGCCCTCCTTGCCGGTCTGCACACTGCAGAAAGCCACAGCAGTTGGCACCTGTGTTTTTCCAGCATGCAAAGTCCGCAAAGGACATATGGAAATTGTTTTAGAATTGTATCCAGGCAACAGTCTTCCCTATAAACTGACCTCTCAGTTTGACTTGTGAGGGTATTGCCCCAGAATTACAATATTGTTTAAGTACCTCTTAGCTATTGATAACTGGTTTAAATATAGCAGCTTGTTATCTGGTAGTTTCTAGTGTAGAAAATATCAATCTGTTTTCTATCAATTAGATCTGTTTAACAAGTGTTGTAGGTGTGAAACAATATTACAAGTGACCGATGTAGTAAATTCGAATCAAAGTTCCATTTGCAAAAAACAAATTCTCGCCCATTTTCTGTGGGTTATTGCATTTTTAAGATATAGACTTATTGTATTACACTAGCCATGCACTGGTAGATTGTCTGGCATGTTGTTTTGGTGATTGGTTTTTAACTTTGTAATTGTGTCTTTACACAATCTAGAAATGTATATTAATGCTTCTTTATATGAAGCCATCACAATAACACTTATTTTTCACTTTAAAAAAAAAAAAAGTCTTTAGACTTTCTTGAGAATCGGTAACTAGCCAGTGTTGCACACATACACAAGATATGACGTGCACATCCCAAATGTACTTTTTAGCAAACAAAATGCAATGTCACAGCATTATTTGACGGCTCTATTTGACTCTCAGATATGAAGTGCAGGCCCCAAATTTACTTTTTAGCACCTAAAGAATAAGAATTTTTAAAAATGCAATATAAGCAGTTCTATTTGACTCTCAGATATGAAATGCACGCCCCAAATTTACTATTTAGCATCTAAAAAATTGAATGTTTAAAACTGCAAAGTAAGTACAGTATTTGACGGTTCTATTTGACTCTCAGATATGAAGTGCAGGCCCCAAATTTACTTTTTAGCACCTAAAGAATTTGAATTTTAAAAAATGCGCTGTAACCACAGTATTTGACGGTTCTATTTGACTCTCAGATATGAAGTGCACGCCCCAAATTTACTTTTTTGTACCTAATGAATTTGAATGTTTAAAACTGCAATGTAAGCACAGTATTTGACGGTTCTATTTGACTCTCAGATATGAAGTGCCGCAAATGTACTATTTAGCATCAAAAAGTTTGATTGTTTAAACCAACAGTAGTATTTGTTGTAACAGTAGTATTTAAGGGTTTTATTGGACTGCAAGAAATGCAGTACGCAAATGTACTATTTAGCACCCAAAAAATTGCAGTATTTAAAAATGCCTAGAAGTTGCCCACTGAGCTACCAGAACAGGATTAAAGTAATGTGCCTGGCACACATGCAGTTGCAAGTGCACTGCGCTCTCTGTGGCACTGGGCTCAGGGCAGGGTACAAAAATGTAGTATTATAGCACCCTCAAAAATAATTGTTGTAGTTTGAATAATCGCTGTAGTTTGCAGATTCAACACCAGAATTCTTTCCTAATCTGTCCCTCACAACTGCAGCATCCTCTCTCTACACTAATAAGAGCTCATGTGCGTGCGGCGCTAGTCAACTCCAGTCAACTGGGTCACATGCTGCACTGGCCAATCACAGCCATTAGTAGGCATGGCTGTGATGGCTTCTAAGGGCACACGAGTCATATGCTTGTTGATTGGCTGCCCTGCAGCCTTTCAAAACGCGCCATTAAATCGCCCAACACCGAACTCCAACCCGAACATACACTGATATGTCAGTGTTCGGGGTCCAGGGTCCAAAAAAATTAATGTTCGGTACGAACCCGAACTTTACAGTTCGGGTTCGCTCAGCTCTAGTGTTGGGTGCATATACTGATGTGATAGCATATTTATGACACCTGGCCTTACCAGAAATAGATATGTATCTGCCTTGAGGGTCGACCCAGTCAGTGGATATCAGGCAAGATTTGCGCATCATGATTGCCACCCCATTGTTTTTACCAGTGGGGGAGTTTGCAAGGAAATATTTGTTATAATGATGGTGCAGCAGTGGTAACGGCCTTTCTTGGGCAAAGTGTGTTTATTGTAGGAGTATAATATTCGTGTGGGTTTTGTTAGCCCAACGCAGAAATTGGAGACATTTAGAGGAGTTGTCAAGGTCTTTGCAGTCAATGGATACGCATTTCAAAGAGGTGGGCATTGTGGGTGGGGTAAAATGGGTCAGAATTTGCAGGTTGCATCCCAATAATAATTAGGTTACTGAGCCACCCCCTTTAGTAATGTAGGGGGAAACTCGCTTGCTCATTATGGGGTTAGTATAAAGGTGAGCAGGGCAACATGGTTGGGTCTTTCTCGTTCCACCTATATTTTACTCTGGTCAGTTATTCGGTGGGGGTGTATGGTGGGGGGGTTCTGGTCGGTGGCTAGGGTGAGTAGATCTGTGAAAATGGTGGAGGAAAAGTAGTTGCATTGTAATCTATATGGGCTGTATGGGGTAGGGATTGGGGAGCCCAGTGCCATGTACATATGAAGACTGAGGTTCAGTCCTTCTATAGATGGTTTTCCGTCATGAGCCCCGGGTCCCTACCATTAAAAGGTAGCACAGTGGTGCTGTTGCCCCATGATAACACCATATTATATTTTGTGTTAGACATGCTATGGTAGCTTACAATACATAACTAAAATTAGTAATAGTAATAATAATGTGAAAATAAAATAAAATAAGTGTATGCATAAATAAACAAAGAAAAAGTGTTTTATCTTCACCTCAGGGTATGTATGATGGCCTGCAAGGTACATGTCAGCGATACGATGTGGTGGTATTCTGGGGCAATTCTAATCATCAAGAGTAGCTTGTGAAGGCTAAGTCTTTCACTTTGGTGGGCATTATACGTAGCACACCATGTAGGTACCAGGGGTTGAGGGAAGGGGAGTCTGTGTGGGGGTGAGTGGAGGTTAGTGTTTGATTAAATTTTTTTTTGTTTTTTTTGATAAATTGTATTAGTTTTCAGTATAGAAAAAAACATACATATTTAATTATCTAAAGTCATATCAGAAATTACACATATATACTAGACATACATATAGACATGCATATATGCATAGAATGTGAAGATAACTGCAATATCCATATTTCCTTAAAGGGACATTACAGTCACCCAGATCACTTCAGCTCAATGAAGTGGTTTGGGTGCCAGGTCCCTCAGGTTTTAACCCTTCAGATGCAAACATAGCAGTTTCAGAAAAACTGCTATGTTTACATTTGGGGTTAATTCAGCCTCTAGTGGCTGTCTTCTGGACAGCCAAAAGAGGTGCATCTGCGACGCTGGAGGCACATTTTGTATCCATAGCGCAGAGCGTCCACAGGAAAGCATTGACGTTGGACGGGGGAGCTGACGTCGGCTGGGGAGGAGAGGTCACAAGCGCAGAGGGAGCCCGGCACTGGATTAAGGTAAGCTCCTGAAGGGAGGGGGACCCTGAGGGTAGGGGCACCCTTAGGGCACTATAGTGTCAGGAAAACCACTTTGTTTTCCTGATACTATAGTGATCCCTTTAATGCAATATATAGAAGGCACTGCCATAGGAGGAAAAGGAAGAAAAAGCTTTTATATACTTATCTCAACTCAACTCTACTCTGGGTCTCAAATCCCCTATTCTGACATCATCTCTAGAACTTTTATCCAGTTATCGCAGATGTGATATTTTTGGGGGTTAACACAGAAATTAGATGCAATCTCGCGTTCCATTCTGCACTGAAATTTAACACATTCTTTAATTTGTGGCCATAGTTCAACCTTAGAAATTTTCCAATTTATAGCAATAGAACACTTAAATACCATCAACATATGGATCAGAAACCATCTTTTATTTTTTGGTAAGGATAGTAATTTTTGTTGTAATATCGCCATCTCTTGCGTCCACACCTGTTTCAGTCCCAAGAGCCTATTGATATTGTTACGGCACACCCAGGTATAAGAGGGGTTAATATCGCTGGAGATGTTCCCTTTCCAAATAGAGAAGCAGCTAACAAAAGTTCCAATCAGCCGAACAGGAAGCATACGAAATCCTTCACAAACCAAACAGCGGAACGAGTAAACCATACGAATCCGAGACCAAGCTCCATATTGAGGGTTAAGCAGAGATCTGTTTAATGTGGGCTACCTGCCCGGTATTTATGCGGTATTCCACCAGGTGGACACTCCCCAAGGGGACCTGGTGGAAAACTGGGACAAATATAATACAGTAGCCAATAGAAACACTTTGGCTATAAACACTCAGCTTTTGCTGTACAGAACCCTCCTCTCTATCCTGGAGATAATTGGGGAGTAACTCAATTATCTCCATGGATAGAGACCAAACTCCATTTTACACTTGGTGGAGAAAATACATCAAATTATATAACATTGCAATAACTGAAAGAAATGTATGGGTTCAACATATCCTCAGATAGCTTGGATCTGAGAGCACATTATTACCGAATGGCGCTCAGATCTCAAACACATAGTCCAATCGCCATGGAGCCAAAGTTGTGCACATAGTCTTTCAGTGTAACGGCACCCCCAGGCATAAAAGGGTTAAACCGCCGTTTAGTAGATATTCCCTTCCAGAGACAAAGGCACAGCTACTGTAGACACCAATACACCGAACCGGAGAAGCATATGAATGCTATAAAAATTATGAGTGCCGTAAACAGCCGAATAGGAAAATCCATACAAATAGGTTTACACTCCTAGCAGTCAAACTGGAACAGCATACAATAAATCCCCCCAAGAACGAGACAAAGCTCCGTGTTGAGGGTCAAGCAGTGAACAGTCAGAGCTGTGGGTTTATTGTTCTTATATACACATTAATACCACCCACAGGGTTTTGGAACACAATATAACTTACATTTTCAGAATCAGCATACTCCAAATACAAACATATGTCAAAATCATCCAAATTGGTCCAGTGGTTCAAAAGATAGATCGTAGTCCTTTGTGACCAAAGGAAGCATGGCTTTTCTGCCCAAAACCAGTTCCACAGAGTCTTCTATCCTGGAGATAATTGGGAAGTAATCCAATTATCTCCAAGGACAGAGGCAAAACTCCATTAAGCACATGGCAGTAAAAAGACAGTAAAATACAATAAAATACACAAGGTTACATTTATTACATAAAATACAGACATGCAACATATCCCCATATAGCTTAGGTCTGAGCGCACATTTTTACTGAATGGCACTCAGACCACACACATACAGTTCAATTGCCATGAAGCCAAAGTATTTTATTACACGAATAGGCTCCATGACATAGCTATCTGGGTTAAATGAGTTCATTCAGTAAATCCGAGAATCTACCAAACGCCAGGGCAGAAATACAGGAATAGACCTTTCTGCATAGGAAAATAAAGCATTTAAATGCCGGTCCATAGTCAAAAGGCAGCAGGCAGGCAACCAGGCTCCTCCAATGCACAGTGGCGAGATTGGTCTCGTCACATTCGGTATACGAAAAGGCTCCATGGGATAGCTATCTGAGGTGAGTCCATTCGTGAATTAAAACTACCGAACAGGATGGCGTTCGTATACAGGATCCACTGTAGGGGAGAGGTCAGCAGCTTCAGCGGTGTTCGTGTAATTCAGTGTCCATTTTTAGTTCCATAAGATTCTTGATGAACACCGCTGGGCATTCGTACATCCAAGATGGCCGCCACCTAGTGTTCGGCATACAAACGACGGCCACCCAGCTTTCCCTTATCAATTAGAATGTGTCTGCAGTTAACCACAACGTTCTATTGAGGTGAAGAGGTTAACCAGCAGCATACGTCCATGCTGGGTGGCCGGCCGTTCGGCAGTTCATTCGATAGTTAGGAAAATAAACGAACGGGGTGTATGGACAGGCAATTAACTGAACAAACAGACGAACCAAGGGGAATAAAAGTATTTTAAAGACAGGTGGATCTGTCACACGGCTCCGTCCTTGTGGGACACTCCGGCAGACCCGGCTTGACGCTTTGCGGGTCAACTTTGGGATGACCGGAACTAGGAGGCCGGAATGATGTCTGTTTGTCGGGACAACCCATCAGCATTTCCATTTTGCTTACCGGGTCTGTAGCTTATGGTGAAGTTATAAGGTTGCAGGGCTAAGCTCCACTGCAGCAACCTGCCATTGTCTCCTGAGACCCAGTTAAGCCAGACCAATGGTTTGTGGTCAGTCACAAGGGAAAATTCCTGTCCGTAAAAATAGGGACTCAGTTTTTTCAGTGCCCAAACTATGGCCAAACATTGTTTTTCCACTGCTACATAGCTCACTTCTCGGGGTAGTAATTTTCTGCTGAGATTTGCGACAGGGTGCACTCCTCCATGCTCCCCGACTTGGCTTAGCACAGCCCCCAGTCCAATGATTGAAGCGTCTGTGTGCACGAGAAAATGTTAGGTATTGGGGCAGCCAAGACAGAGGCATTAACAAGAGCTTGTTTGAGAGCTATAAATGCGGCTTCACAAGCTGGAGACCACAGGACCTGCCTAGGTAAATTCTTTTTCATCTGGTCTGTCAGGCGCTTGGCGATAGCACTGTAGTCAGGGACAAAACGTCGGTAATACCCTGCAGTCCCCAGGAAGGCCAGTACTTTGGTCTTTGTGCGGGGTGTGGGCCAGTTAGCCACTGGCTCTGGTCTCTGGTTTCCACACCCTACTCGGTGACACAAGTACTGTACTTCAGCCATACCTAGATGGCACTTGTCTGGTTTCAAGGTCAGACCAGCGGCCCGAATCTTGTACATGACTACCCCTACATGCACCAAGTGCTCCTCCCAAGACTCACTGTAGATCACAATGTCATCCAGGTATGCACAAGCAAAATCCTGGAAGCCATCGAGGAGCCTATCCAACATATGCTGGAAGGTAGCCGGGGCATTTTTCATCCCGAATGGCATGACCATAAACTGGTACAGGCCAAACAGGGTGACAAATGCCAACTTGGTGATAGCATCCTCGGCCAGGGGAATCTGCCAATGGCCCTTACATAGGTCTATGGTGGCAAGATAGCATCCCCTGGCTATGCAATCTAACAATTCGTCCACCCGGGGCATCGGGTAGGCGGCAGTGGTGGTCTTCTCGTTGAGTCGCCTGTAGTCCACACAGAACCAGGTGGTCCCATCTTTCTTAGGTACCAGGACTACAGGCGAGGCCAAGGGCTGTTTGAGTATTCTATGACCCCCAGCTGGGTCCTCTCCTGTATTTCCTTCCGCATTCCTTCCCGGACTGCTTCAGGGATACGGTAAGGGGGCTGTCTGAGGGGTGCCTGTCCTGGGGTCTCTACCTTGTGTACAGCTAGGGTTGTGTAGCCAGGCTCTTGGGAGAACATCGCCTGCTTCTCCCACAGAAGCTGCTTTGCCTGTACCTTTTCTGTGGGGCTCAACCGGTCGCCTAGCTGTACAAGACTAGTAAGATCCTTCTCCAGTAGGTTGGGGAGGGGTAGGCTCTCAGAGTCATCTGCAGCAGAGGCGACATTCTCCTGTCTCTCCTGATACTCCTTCAGCATGTTCACATGAAAGGATTGCTGGATCCTTTCATCTGCACAGCTGGCTAAAAACATAGGTAGTATCACATACCTGAGCTATTACTTTATACGGTCCTTGCCAAGATGCTTGCATCTTGTAGGTCTTCACAGGCTTGAGCATTACTTTTCTGGGAAGGTTTAGGGATTCTATACAACCTATCCCCCACCCACTCATAACGTTCCCCGTCTACCCCCTCTTCCTGGGCATCTGCCTTAGCCCTATAGTTATGCAAGGTCGGATCCTCCCGGGTTTCCCTCCCAAATGCCTCTGGGGTATGCCAGCGTAAGGAGGCCTGTTCTAAGGTACAAGTTGGGGGAGAGAGTTTTACCTGGGTCTCAGCAGCAGGCAGGCCGGTTTCAGCAGAACGGGTCTGGGCACGGATCGTCACTGGATTAACTTCAGTGGGACTCATCGGGGCGTAGGCAGAAACAAGGGGAGCCAAGTCATTTCCCAAAAGAACATCAGCTGGTAGGTCTTTCATCACCCCCACGTTCACATGTCCGGAGCCCACCCCCCAATCCAAATGCACCCAGGCAAGCGGAAGACAGTGCCTCCTGCTACCCTTATGGCCACAGTGTCCCCAGTGTGCTGGCTCTTAGACACCAGGTTCATTTGTAGCAGAGTCATGGTGGCACCAGTATCCCATAAGCTATTGGCTACCTTTCCATTGACCCTGACGGTCTGTCGGTGTTGCTGCCTGTTGTCTCGGTGGGCCGCTTGAACAGGGTCGGCTTCATGCAGTATACCCCAACATTCCTCTTCCTCGATGCAATGAGTAGCAGGCAGGGGGTTGCGGGAATTCCCTCTGGCTGGCCTCCTCCAGGATTGTGACTGCAGGCTGGGTTCAATGGGCACTCTGGCTTTTTGTGGCCCAGCTGCTTGCACCCGTGGCACCAGAGGGGTTGCGAGTAGTCCTGTGAATTGAACCTGGACTGCTGGGCATAATTGGCTACCGGGGTGTAGTGTGCCGGGGGTTGATAGGCGGCAGCTGTAGGGGGTGCTGGTGGTCGATATTCCACCCGAGCCGTGACTTTGGCCACCGAGTTATCCACATTGCGAGTGTCTGTGCATTCGTCTGCCAGGCGGGCAGCTCCAGGCATAGTGGAGGGTTTACAGTCCTGGACCCACTCCCTGACTACTGGGGACAGTTTGTCAAAGAAGTGTTCTAAGAGAAATAGCTGGAGCACCTCTTCCCCAGATACGGCTTGACATCCAGCGACCCAGTGGGCTGCGGTGCGGTGTACCAGGCATGCCCACTCAGTATAGGAATCTTCTGGCAGCTTGTTGGTGTCTCTGAATCGCCTCCGGTATGCCTCTGGTGTGACGGCATACCTTGTTAATAGAGCTTCTTTCACCACACTGTAATCAGCAATATCCACGTCTGGAATGGCCCGAAAAGCCTTACTGGCCCGGCCGGACAGCTTCCCGGACAAAATAGTCTCTGGGGGTACCCTGTGCAGTGCACATTGCCGCTCAAAATCCGCAAGGTATCCATCAATTTCCTCTTCTGTTTCCACGAACTTTTTAAATGCGGCAAAATTAACTTTCTTTTTCTCAGCCGGGATTACGGTGGTTTGGGCTGCTGTAGCACCTCTTTGTTGCATTAGACTTGCCTCCACCGCGGCTATGACCCAGTCAATAATGTCCACGGTTTGGTTAGGACCATAATATGCCAGCCTTAACTAAACCGCCCAATCAAAACTTGCCTCTTCGGAGGTTCTGTCTGTTATGCTGTGCCTCTCGGTTACGTTGGCTCTTTCGGGTCCTTCAGCTCCATCCATCTCGACTAGCTCTGCGATGATGTCCCTCTTTTTGCGGTTGCTGACTAGTCGGCCACGGCTTTAAAGCAGATCCTTGAGGGTAGAGTATTTCAATCTTTCATACTGTACTTCCATCGGTCTATGTTCCTGTGTAGCTGACTATCTGGGCTGTGAGTACCATCCCATCGCTTGCCACCAGTTGTTATGGCACACCTAGGTATAAGAGGGGTTAATACCGCTGAAGATGTTCCCTTTCTGAATAGAGAAGCAGCTAACGAAAGCTCCAATTAGCCGAACAGGAACCATACGAAATCCTTCCCGAACCAAACAGCCGAACGAGTAAACCATACAAATCCAATACCCCAAGTACGAGACCAAGCTCCGTATAGAGGATTAAACAGAGATCTGTTTAATGTGGGCTACCTGCCCGGTATTTATGCGGTATTCCACCAGGTGGACACTCCCCTAGGGGACCTGGTTGAAAACTGGGACAAATATGATACAGTAGCCAATAGAAACACTTTGGCTATAAACACTCCCCTTTTGCTGTACAGAACCCTCTTCTCTATTCTGGAGATAATTGGGGAGTAACTCAATTATCTCCCAGGATAGAGTCCAAACTCATGGTGGAGAAAATACATCAAATTATATAACATTACAATAACTGAAAGAAATATATGGGTTCAACATATCCTCCGATAGCTTGGATCTGAGCGCACATTATTACCGAATGGCGCTTAGATCCCATACACATAGTCCAATCGCCATGTAGCCAAAGTTGTACACATAGTCTTTCGGTATACGAATAGGCTCCATGAGATAGCTATCTGAGGTGAGTCCATTCGTGAATTAAAACTACCGAACAGGATGGCGTTCGTATACAGGATCCACTGTAGGGAAGAGGTCGGCGGCTTCAGCAGTGTTCGTGTAATTCAGTGTCCGTTTTTAGTTCCATAAGATTCTTGATGAACACCGCTGGGCATTCGTACGTCCGAGATGGCCGCCGCCTCGTGTTCGGTATACGAACGACGGCCACCCAGCTTTCCCTTACCAATTAGAAAGTGTCTGCGGTTAACCACAACATTCTATTGAGGCCAAGAGGTTAACCAGCAGCACACGTCCATGCTGGGTGGCCGGCCGTTCGGCAGTTCATTCGGTAATTAGAAAAATAAAAAAACGGGGTGTACGGACAGGCAATTAACAGAACAAACAGACGAACCAAGGGGAATAAAAGTATTTTAAAGACAGGTGGATCTGTCACAGATATATACAAAAGTGGATCCCAGCCTCATTTGATGAACAAGTATATGTAGTTCGTCAGCATTGCTCAAACCACATCTCCAACAAAGGCTTTTATCTTGAGGGTACATCTTATTTAATTTTTGTGGTGTTAAATGCCACCTATTTACGATCTTATAGTGGGTCTCCATTGTGTTAAGACAGTGGACTGATGAACATACTGTTTGTAATGCGGCATACCATTCTGTGAGGTCTATTTTTTTATATCTCTAGACCATCTATCTTTTGCCTTAGGGATAATATTCCCTTTAATAGCTTGTAATATGCCAAAACATTTTGAAAGTAATTTTGTATCTTTTCCCAATTCAATAATATTGTTTAATTTATCCATTATTTCATTTGAAGTTTTCCTATATGTTAATGTCTTTAAAAAAACAACTAATTTTTATATAGTTAAATAGTTCCTGCTGTGGTATATTGAAGGATTGTTGTAGATTTTGAAAGGTTTTAAGACCTGATTGATTCCATAACATAGAAATTTTAGTAATGCCCTGCTGGGCCCATACTGACAAATCCAGATTCTCTATCATATTCATCAGATGAATAATCGGGAGAGATGGTCAAATTGTATTATTTAAGTTTACCTCTCTTTTAAAACGATTCCAAAAATTAAACATTTTCTACCCTATTAAGAGGATTCTTCTCCCTACGTTTCAGGCCATAGGTAACTGATCAGGTTAAAAGGTGATTTAATACTGTTCGCGTCTATCTCATACCATCCTTGTGATTTATAATTGTCTAAATGCGTATTACATGCATTAAAGCAGAGGCTCTATAGTATAGATCGATGTTTGGCATCCCAATCCCTCCCTGTTTCTTGTTAAGGTGTAATATATTTGCCCCTATCCTAGGTTTTTTATTTAATAAAATATATTTTAAAAAGGCGGTATGGATCATCTTCAGCCAAGGTGTAGGGACCTTTAGGGGAACCATTCTAAAAAGATATATACATTTAGGTACTATATATGCCTTTAAAGTATTGGTCCTTCACCACCAAGAGATTTCCAGAGACTTCCATGTTTTTAAGAGATGATTATTTTCTCTCTAAAGAGATAAAACTACTTGCATTAAATCCTTGGGATTAGCTGTTTTATTGATCCCTAAATATCTATATTTTTTCTTATCCCATTTGAAATTGAAGTTACTATCAACAAGTTTTATTTATTGTTTGTCCATATAGAATGGCATTGCCAATGTTTTATCTACATTTAATTTGTAATTGGACATAGTGATATATTTCTGTATTACTGACATTACATTATTGGCAGAAGAAGATGGGTTAGCCAACAGAAGAAGTGTATCGTCTGCATATTGACAAATTTAAATTTCTTTTTCTTTTATATTAAAACCTTGTATATTTGGGTTTGTCCTTAAAGCTATAACTAGGGGTTCTGCTGCTATTACATATAGCAGCTGAGAAAGAGGACATCCCTAACGGATACCGTTAGATACCTCAAACCAGTCTGATTCTATTCCCTGACCTACTATTCTGCCGGATGGGAGAGAATACATTGGCTGTCAGAAGTTTCCCTGCAAACTCAAACGCTTTTAATGTATATTTAAGAAAACTCCAGTTGACCCTATCAAAGGTTTTTTTCTCCATCTAAGGCCATCTAAGAGCTTTACACTTATGGATTATTTGATATATATTTATAATTTTTCTGATGTGATTGATGGATGATCTGCCAGAAATAAATCCTGCTTGGTCCGGCGCGATTAAACGTGGAATTACTATTAAGTATAGTTGCATATATTTTCTAATAAATATTGAGTAATGCTATTGGGGGGTAATTAATTCGTTCCATAGGATTTTTTATCCTGTTTGAGGATTGGGAACAAATTTGCCTTTAATATTTCTTATGACATAGATCCTTTCTCCATTATATAATTATACATTTCTGCAAGTTAAGGGCTCAATTGATCTCTATATATTATGTAAAATAAATGGATATAGCCATCAGGCCCGGGTGCTTTATTTCTTTTGAGATTATTAATAATATCACTTACTTCTTCTGATGTTATAGGTTCATTTAATTGCACCAATTGCTGTAAATTTAGAGATCGCAATGATTTGTCTTGAACATAAGCTTCAAGTTGGAGTGAAGAAGTATGTTCTGGCAAATTGTACAACTCTTGATAGTACGATTTAAATAACCCAATTTCTTTTGGTGCTAAAAGAGTCTGTTGCCCTATAATTATTTTATTTATATGATTTTTGCACGTCTGATTTTAAATTTGTTAGTTAATAATTTATCTGCCTTGTTACCTCGGTAATAATAATTTGATTTTAAAATTTCTACATTTTTATTTGCTCTATTAATGAATTGTTCATTAATTTTAGATTCTACTTCTTTTATCTTTTCTGTTGTCTCTTTTGTTGGCTTATTTTTATTGGTATATTGAGATCATTGGACATATAATTGTGAGAGACTCTTCTGTTTGTGGCGGCTACCCTGCCACAAAGGATGAGGAGTTTCACTGCATGAACCGTTCTTTTCCCCCTGTTCAGAGTGATGCTTTCCGATTTCCCAGGATAGTATAGCTCTTACAAGAGCTGGTGATTATAGCACTCTATGATGAGGGTAAGCAAGGACTGATTTATTGGTAGCCACACTGGCCTTTTATGCCATTCCCAATGCACGGGTCACTACCACATGGACCTTGTGGGGAACTACACAGACCAATGACAATGATGTTCAAATGCATGGCACTCCCATATACAATCATACAATCCCTCCCTGCTGCCTGAGAGATTATTGAGCCAGATACTGTATTAACTTTAATTATATCTAGGTGAAAAATAACACAATTTACAGGTTACCTGAAAGTACCCCAGAAACTCAGATAGTCCCCACACAAGTTATATCCCCTGATAGCCCGGATCTGGGGGAGCAACATATTTAAAAATCACCCAAAGAGTTTTATGGAAGCCTTGTTTCTGACCGGCCACAAGCAAGGCTCCTGCCCAATATTGTTCAAGAGATTCAGGCTGTGCGGTTGGTCTCTTTCTGGAACTCCAACACAAAGAAATACTGAAAGGAACCGTTCATGAGAAGGCTAGTTGTGTATCCCGTGTCCGGGAGTTTGGTTTCGTTGGATGAACGGAAACGAACATAAGTCTCAGCGGTGTTAGGCCCATCGAGTGTCCGATAATAGTTCCATGCACTCGATGACCAAACCCTGCTGGAAGCGTTCGCAAAAACAAGATGGCCGCCACTTTGTGTTCGCCCATACGAATGATGGCCACCCAGCCGACCACTTAGAATGTTTAGGGATTGTGGTTAGAGTAGGTGTTAGGAAGGTCAAGGGGGCTAACTAGCAGCACATGACGGCCCTGTTCGACAGTTTGTTCTGTATACGAACTGGGTAGATTTTAAGTGTTCAGTTAGTTCGTATACCGAATGATTCAGGGTAGTAGAATTAAAAATAAACAGAAAAAGTTTACAAGGTACAATCCATAGAGGGGGCATCCGTCACACTTTTTTTATGTCACTGTGCTGCCATTTTTATCAAATGCCCTCTGATAACAGATTTAAACGCACACCATTTAATGTCTGGAGGTACTCCAGAGTATAAATTCTCTGAAAAGTTATATGCTATCGTATCTGCAATATATTTTTTTATTCCCATCCGACAGAAGAAGTCAGCCTTGTAATTTCCAGTCTGATCTTGTATGGAATTGTTGTTTCAATTCCATATATATAGTGTTAGTTCTACCACCCTAAAGTTTCCCAAAATAAATCAATTCTAGAAAAAGCTCAATGTGTTTTAAGCCCCATTTCCACTGAGCAGAACGGTTGGGGTTGGTATGGTTCAGAAGGGTTAGAATAGTCCATGCGGTCCTACTTGCGTTTCCACTGCAAGTCGGACCGCCAGGGGGCATGCAGGGTTTAGACCACAGTGCCGCAGTGCCGTTTTTCTGTCCGCCAATTGATGCAGTGACATTTTTCTGTCTGCCAATCAATGGATGGTATCGTGACCCCAGTAGCTCCACCCTAACCATACCGTACCATTTTCCTATGGGCCTGCAACTGAAGGGTGCCCAGGAATGGTGCAGTTTGATTCGGTTGTATGGGCCTCTTTTATAATGTAAACACACAAAATAGCATACCAATCCGTACCGACTCGAACCGCTCAGTGCAAATGGGGCTCAAGAGAAACAAGTGAAGTCCCTTTCCTTAGGATGAAAGGTTCTCCAGATATCCATTAGGGGTTCCCTCTTTAAGATCTGGCACAGTCTTGCCACTTGATTTATTGTATTCTTATCTATATTTTTCCCCCTGTTAATTTGTTTATCCATAGGTGGATCTCATATACAGTTAAAATCGCTCACAAGTATCACTTATCCCTGTTTAACTTGTTCTAGTTTTAGCAAGAATTTGTCAATAAAGTGAGTAGGGACATAAATGTTGGCTATAGTATATGTTATCCCTTTTGTTTTGCATATTAATATAATTCATATTCCTTCCTTATCAATATCTTTTGAGAAAAAAAAAACATCCACCCCTCTTTTTTTCTTCTCTATTAATGAAGATTTGATCATGATAGGATGTGACAGATCCCTCTGTCGTAGAACTATATTGCTATCCTGTTTGATTCGTGTGTATTCGTGTAATTGCCTGCCCGTACTTCCCCGTTTGTTTATTTTTTAATCTACCGAATAAGCTGCTGAACGGCCGGCCACCCAGAAGAGAAGTGTGCTATCCCGTTTGAGTCGTGTGTATTCGTGTAATTGCCTGCCCGTACTTCCCCGTTTGTTTATTTTTTAATCTACCGAACAAACTGCTGAACGGCCGGCCACCCAGAAGAGAAGTGTGCTGCTGGTTAACCTATTGGCCTCAATTAGAATGTTGTGGTTAACCGCAGACATCTCTTAATTGAAACCGTATACTGGGTAGTCGTTGTTCGTATGCCGACCACGAGGCGGTGGCCATCTTAGACTCACGAATGAACAGCGGTGTTCATCGACAATCTTATGGAACCCAAAACGAACACTTTTTATCCCGAACACCGCCGACTTCCTTTCTTTGTCATCTGGCATACGAACGCCGGTCCGTTCGGGACGTTTATTTCACAAATGGACTTAACACAGATAGCCATCCCATGGAGCATTTGTATACCAAAAGAACAGTGTGAAAGACTTTGGCTCCATGGCGATTGAACTGTGTGTATTGGATCTGAGCGCTATTAGGTAATAATGTGCGCTCAGATCTAAGCTGTCTGGGGATATATGCACTGAATACATTCGGTAGTTTTACAGTTATTGAATTTTATGTGTTTTTATTGTATCATGTAAAATGGCGGTTTGCCTCTATCCCTGGAGATAATTGGATTTCTTCTCAATTATCTCCAGGATAGAGAGGAGGGGTTTGCTTGTACAAAGGGGAGTGTTTATGCCTGAGCCACTGTGATTGGCTACTGTACCATACTTGTCCCAGTCTTCCATCTGGTCCCCTAGGGAAGTGTCCACCAGGTGGGAGACCTGCATAAATACCGGGCATGTAGCCCTCAATAAACCCGATTCCTATTTTACCCTCAAGACGGAGCTTGGTCTCGTGTTTGGGGGGGATTGCTACTTGGAAGTATTATTTTGCCTGTTCCAGGAGAGAATTTCCATTCAGGAAATTGGAGTATTCGTGAGTTGCTGGTCCCATATCAAGGGGAGAAGGATTTCGTGTATTTTTCCAGTTCGGTGAATTGAAGTGTTCGTGAGTTGCTATTCCCGTATCAAGGTGAATACCTCTTTCGGTATTAGCCCCCGATACCGGGGTTATACCGTAACATAGGAAAACATTTTTTTTTTTAAATTAATCTTATCACTCAATCTCCAGTGAGTTTCTTGAATACATCCTATCTGTACCCTTTCTTTAACTAGGAAATTAAACCCAAATTTTTTTTTGGGGTGGGGAGTTGAGACCCTGAACGTTAAAAGACAGTGTTTGATTACATCCAAACAGTGATTGGGATATGTGCAGGGGTATAAATCACTGCTACAGCATGGGCTTTCCAGATTTGGCATAATGGGAAGTCATATGCTTTGGACCTGTTGGGGGAGTGTTTTGTGAAACATTTTAGGATGCAGTGTGCAAATTCTGGATACTAAGAACGGATTGCTGTAGTGGGTGTAAATTTAACCTAGGCCCTTTAAGTATGTATACCTGATGAAGTTGTTTTCTGGGTGTGCGGCCATGTTTAGTTTGAGGTAAAGGTCTGATCTGTATGGTCTTGGTCCTTGCTAGGGGTCTTATGCTGTCACTGTGGGCCATGCACCCCTCACATTATGGTAAAACAGAAATAGGGTAACATAACATAACATGACAGATAATGATTTTAACATAACTAATAACATATGAGGGGTGAGTACCCCATAACCTGTCTTTCTTCCTAAGTAGAGGCCAAATTGGTTGTCCTTTCTGGCCACAAGCTTGAATGGGTGTCCCCACGTCTAGCGCCAGCCATGATAGATGAGGGCAGCAGTAAGGGGTTTAAACTCCCTCCTCTTTTGGAGCGTTGATGGGGCCAAATCTTTGAAGAAGTGCAGCACTTGATCTTGGATAGAGAGGGGGTTGTCTCTAGTAATTTTCATCAGAGTTTCTTTTGTGGTGAAATGGAGCATTTTGATTATGACATCCCTAGGATTCGAGGAGATAGGATTCGGGGGGGGTGCAATGCCCGGTGGGCACGTTTGATCATGAGCTCCTGTTCAGAGGCTTCCAGTAAGAGAGACTTAAATATTCCCTAATGATAGAGATCAGTGATTCATTTATGATAGTTTCCGGCATGCCCCGTATTCATATTTTTTTCCTATGGGGGCGGTTATTAAGGTCTTCTAGACCATCTTCTAATTGCAGGATTTTGTCTTGTAGGGCAGATATGTCCTGGCCTTGTTCCACAGTTTTGGTAATGACTTGAGATTCCGCTTTGCTTGTTCTGGAGGTGAGCGCTTCTCCATCGGCCTTCAGGCCTGCCACGTGTTTTTCCAACTCCGCCGCTGTGTAGGACTTAATGTCGTTCGTAGCTTTCCTCAGTAATTTTCGTAGATCCCTTTTAGAGAGGGGGGTGTTGGGTTCTGTTGTGGTGTCGCTTTCGCCGGTGTCTGAGCCCGAGCCTGGTAGACCTTGAGATGATGATGGCCACCCCGGTTCACGCGGGGTCGGGAATAAGGATACCACTAAAGATGTTTGATCTTTTCTTTCTTTTGTGTGCCCCATGGCTGAAAAGGTTTATGGGGTAGTAGTCTGTAGTGTGCAAAATTAGGTTGGATGTACATTGTATAGTGCGAATTGATACAGATTAATAGCTCGGGGGAGAGAGAACGTCTCACACGTCTTTCTCCATAAGAGGTCAGATTCCGCCCCTCAGGTAACATCCTTTTTAATCACTTTCCTTCACAAATTGTGAAAAGAGTATTCAAAAGTTAAAAACTAGAAATTAAATACACCCTCATGTAAAAATAAATAAAACAGCAGATGCAAAACCTCCCTTTTTTAACACTTTCATTCACAGATGTGATAAAATTCTACAACATTAAAAAACCACTCGAGGCACCCAGACCACTTCAGCTTAATTAAGTGGTCTGGGTGCCAGGTCCAGCTAGGGTTAACCCATTTTTTTTTTATAAACATAGCAGTTTCAGAGAAACTGCAATGTTTATAAATGGGTTAATCCAGCCCTCAAATCCTCTAGTTGCTGTCTCATTGACAGCCAATAGAGGCGCTTGCGTGATTCCCACTGTGAAAATCACAGTGAGAACACGCAAGCGTCCATAGGAAAGCATTGTAAATGCTTTCCTATGAGACCGGCAGAATGCGTGCGCAGCTCTTGCCGTGCGTGCGCATTCAGCCGAATGGGAGGAGAGGAGGAGGATCGGAGGCGGAGAGCTCCCCGCCCGGCGCTGGAGAAAGGTAAGTTTTATTCCCTTTCCTCTCCCCAGAGCCCGGCGGGAGGGGGACCCTGAGGGTGGGGGCACCCTCAAGGCACTATAGTGCCAGGAAAACGAGTATGTTTTCCTGGCACTATAGTGGTCCTTTAAGACATGGAAATTGAGTGCTTCATTTGAAGAAAAGAGAGAGATAAGTTAATTCAAATAGCATCCCTTTTAAAGAACTTTCATTTAAGACTGTAAGAAACGTAATTTAAGAATCGACATTATAAGTTGTGTGCACCATATATCCTTCTAAAGAAAAATTATCATAGGGTTACCATTAGTATTTCTGACATGCAATATTAATGACCTAAACCTTAACAACTGGATTACCTCAGGATTAACTAAAATCAAAAATGTAATAAAGAATGACAATCAGCATATTAGATTTTACATTGCTTGGTAGTGAGCATCAATTACAGAAAAAGGAACTCTCTAGCTATCTTAGAGTTAAGAGATGCTCCAGGTCAAGTTAATTAAAAATAGCTCCTGTAAAATAATTAAATTGGGAAGATTACTATAAAAAACAATACAGAAAGGACTGGTGGCAAGTTGTTTAGAATTGATGTGAGACATTTTAAAACATTTTTTTGTTTGTTTAATTTAATCTTTATTCATTTTTTTCCACTTTTCTTTTTTGTTAAAGAAAAGAAAGTAACATACGTTTCAAAATAATAAAATTATACATGATAAATATACAGAATAAATACAGAGTAAAAAAACATGGAGGTTATTTTCATAGAAACATAGAAACATAGAATGTGACGGCAGATAAGAACCATTCGGCCCATCTAGTCTGCCCAATTTTCTAAATACTTTCATTAGTCCCTAGCCTTATCTTATAGTTAGGATAGCCTTAAGCCTATCCCACGCATGCTTAAACTCCTTTACTGTGTTAACCTCTACCACTCCAGCTGGAAGGCTATTCCATGCATCCACTACCCTCTCAGTAAAGTAATACTTCCTGATATTATTTTTAAACCTTTGTCCCTCTAATTTAAGACTATGTCCTCTTGTTGTGGTAGTTTTTCTTCTTTTAAATATAGTCTCCTCCTTACTGTGTTGATTCCCTTTATATATTTAAATGTTTCTATCATATCCCCCCTGTCTCGTCTTTCCTCCAAGCTATACATGTTAAGATCCTTTAACCTTTCCTGGTAAGTTTTATCCCGCAATCCATGAACCAGTTTAGTAGCCCTTCTCTGAACCCTCTCTAAGGTATTAATATCCTTCTGAAGATACGGTCTCCAGTACTGTGTACAATACTCCAAGTGAGGTTTCACCAGTGTTCTGTATAATGGCATGAGCACTTCCCTCTTTCTACTGCTAATACCTCTCCCTATACAACCAAGCATTCTGCTAGCATTTCCTGCTGCTCTATTACATTGTCTGCCTACCTTTAAGTCATCAGAAATAATCACCCCTAAATCCCTTTCCTCATATGTTGAGGTTAGAATTCTATCAAATATTCTGTACTCTGCCCTTGGGTTTTTACGTCCAAGATGCATTATCTTGCACTTATCCACATTAAATGTCAGTTGCCACAATTCTGACCATTTTTCTAGTTTACCTAAATCATTTGTCATTTGGCTTATCCCTCCTGGAACATCAACCCTGTTACATATCTTAGTATCATCAGCAAAAAGACATACCTTACCATCAAGACCTTCTGCAATATCACTAATAAAAATATTAAAGAGAATGGGTCCAAGTACAGATCCCTGAGGTACCCCACTGGTGACAAGTCCAAGCTTCGAATATATTCCATTAACTACAACCCTCTGTTGCCTGTCACTCAGCCACTGCCTTACCCATTCAACAATATTGGAATCCAAACTTAAAGATTGCAGTTTATTGATAACAGTGTCAAAAGCCTTACTGAAATCTAGGTAAGCAATGTCACTGCACCACCCTGATCTATAATTTTAGTTACCCAATCAAATCAATAAGATTAGTTTGGCATGATCTCCCTGAAGTAAACCCATGTTGTCTCTGATCTTGAAATCCATGTGTTTTTAGATGTTCAACAATCCTATCCTTTAACATGGTTTCCATCACTTTCCCCACTACTGAAGTAAGGCTTACTGGCCTATAGTTGCCCGACTCCTCCCTATTACCTTTCTTGTAAATGGGCACAACATTCGCTAACTTCCAATCTTCTGGGACTACTCCTGTTAACAATGATTGGTTAAATAAATCTGTTAATGGTTTTGCTAGTACACCACTAAGCTCTTTTAATAGCTTTGGGTGTATTCCATCAGGTCCCATTGACTTATTTGTCTTTACTTTTGACAGTTGAAATAGAACCTCTTCATTTCTAAGCTCATAAGTAGAATTGAGCGAATTCAAACTGGAAAGTTCGGGTTCGTACCGAACATTACGGTTATTGGACCCCGGACCCTAACACGGACATTTCAGTTTATGTTCAGGTTGGAGTTTGGTGTTCAGCAATTTAATTGCGCATTTTGAAAGGCAGCAGCGTTTGACTAGTGTGCCCTAAGAAGTCATCACAGCCATGCCTACTAATGGCATGGCTGTGATTGGCCAGTGCAGCATGTGCGCTATCTACCAAAAGGCGGGTGGGGGCCCTAAATAAGCCATCCAATCGAGTGTTATGAGTCATTTTGCACAGCGTGGAAAATTTCATTGGAATTTTCCCACGCTGTGTAATTTGACTCATAACTCTCTGATTGGTTACTTTCAATCCACCAATCAGAGTGTTGTTATGAGTCAAATTACACAGTGTGGGAAAATTCCAAAGAACTTTCCCACGCTGTGTAAAATGACACAGAGCACTCTGAATGGTGGATTTTAAGCTAACCAATCAGAGTGCTGTGACAGGTAAATGTAGAGACTTACCAGTCAGTCTCTTAATTTACCTGTCAGAGCACTCTGATTGGATGGCTTAAAAACACCAGAGGGCTCTGAGCTTAATTGCAGGGCGGGGCAAGACTTTATAAGCCTTCCCCTGCCCTGCAGAGCTCAGTCTGCGTGGAGCCCTCCAGGATTTTTTTTTTTGCGCTTTTTTTTTAATTTTCTATTTTTAAATGTGTCGGTTATTATGGATTTTTATTTGGACTTTTTGGGGCTGAAATCAAATGGTAAGTTTTATTTAATTATTTTTTTACAGGTACATAGTTAATGTTCCCCCCTCCTTATTTTTAGGGTGAGGGGGTTAGGTAGGGGTTTTTTTTTTTTTTTTTTGGTGGAGGGGGTGACTAGGGGTTTGGGGTCCCCTAGTCTCCTTGGGGGGGGGTTTAAATTTCTATTTAGGGCCCCCACCCGCCGATCAGGGGTGGGGGCCAGGGAGGAGGACAATAGATCCCCACTTATTCTAATTTAGGGCCCCTACCCACCGCTCAGGTCAGGGGAAGGACAATAGGTGTACCCCCTTATTGTAATTTATGGCCCCCACCAGCCGCTCAGGGGTGGGGGCCAGGGGGGAGGACAATAGGACCTATTGTTATGAAGGGCCCCCACCCACCGCTCAGAGGTGGGGACCGGGGGGAGGACAGTAGGTCCTCCTCATCATTCTTATTTAGGGCCCCCACCCACCGCTCAGGGATGGGGGCCGGGGGGGAGGACAGTAGGTTCCCCCCTTCATTGTTATTTTATGTTATTTTAAGTTATTTCCCTATCCACATTTGTTTGCAGGGCACTTGTCCTATTCTTAACCCCATTTTACTTCCCTTTGCAGCCCTCTAGCCCTTTCCAGGACTTTTTTAGAGGCATTGACTTCAATGGGGTTCGGGGTCAAGTTCGAGCCCGAACTCGAACTTTTTGACGAAGTTAGGCCGAACTCGGCGAACATCCAGGTGTCCACTCAACTCTGCTCATAAGCCTTTTTGTTATCAAGGTGTAGTATAGCCTGCACTGAATGTTTGAATAACATCAGGCCAAGTGTATTAGAGAATATATCAAAATGGTTGCTTCTCAATTAATTTTTTAAGACTTTTCACGTTTAGTACTGTAACGGATCGCCTGGCACCCCGATTGGGTACCTCCGTTGACTTTCCTAGGGCTCCAAGCACTCCACTAGACACAATAACCACTGCAGACCCCATGAACCACCGCAGCTTGGTTGGGGTCTCGCGGTCTTCCGCCAAGACCAGGATCCAGCTTCAAGAGAACAGGAACAAGCTCATACAAGAGCTTAGTGATTATACTCTGGGGAATATAGTGATTTTAGTAATCCCCAGAGTGTAGGTAGTTCTCCAACCCCTCAAACATGAGCCAAAACATCATGAAGGGTAGAACAAGCCTGAAGCTTTATTGGTACAGGTTGGCTTATATACAATTCCTCAGGCCTGTGGCACACCCCCAGGACCTGATGGAACACCACATTACAAACTGTACAGACCAATAAGAACAGTATAACAATGTCTGACACTCCCACATACATTATACAATCCCTCCCCTCTGCCTGTGATATAATTGAAACGAAATCCCTTATTAAACAGACCATGCGAACCAGCCTGTTCGGTTATTTGGATGATTACAGCGGGATTTCGTGCAAATAGCGAGAAAAGCGAATGAACTACGAACCACCCGACCTCCCACTGAGGTTGTGTGGTGCCTATTAACCACCCAGACTGTTGCGGTTAACCACAGACTAATTGGGGAATAGCTGGTGGTCTGCGTTCGTTTACCGAATACGTGGCAATCGCCATTTTGTATTGTCGAACACTCAGCGGTAAATGGCGAGGATTCCCTGGAACTAATTTCGGCTACTTATTTTGTCGAACACCGCTGCTCCCTCTTCAAATCCTCGTTCGTATGGTGGAAAAACACACGAATGAAGGAGAAACTAGTTAATTCGTGCGCTGGAAGTATGCGAAAGTGACCGACCCCAGATAGCTACAGTATGGAACTTGTAGTCGGCTACAAACCCACGAACGGCCGAAGAAAGCCAAACTTCAGTCAACATTTCTGAGAACTGTGTTCGTGGGATCTGAGCGCTATTCGCCTAGAATATGCACTCAGATCCAAGCTATCTGGGGATATGTGAGACTTACAGTTTATGTTATGTAAAAGGAAAGTTAGATTTTTATGCTGTTTTGCTAAAATAAGAAAAGACATGTTTCATTCTACCTGGAGATAATTAAGGCTCTCTTTGCTACCTTAAGTTAATTATCTCCAGGATGGAAAAGAGGGAGTGATCTATGTAGAAGGGGAGTGCTTATGCTATTGCCACTGTGATTGGCTACTGTGATACTTTTGTCCCAGTCTTCCATCTGGTCCCCTAGGGGAGTGTCCACCAGGTGGGAGACCTGCATAAATACCGGTAAATCAGATCGTTTTACCCCTTCATGAAGTCTCGATTTATGTTTGGGGGATTGGGAGTTATAATCACTTCGTTTCAGCTGGATTTCGGGAGAAGCTGCAAGGATCATCGCTGCACGAATAGAAGGATCCTTTACAATAATTAAGGTAGTTAATGCATAAACCTAATTATCCAGAGGCAGAAAAAACACACATTTATACAAAGTCTGGAAAACACACCAAAACATAACATATTCCCATAAATCTTACATCCCCTGATAGCTCTGGGTGAACAACATATCCAAAAATCACCCAGATCAGATCAGGGGTTCAGAAATTTTATGGAAGTCATTTTTGCCCAGGCAAACCCAGGATTTCATGCCCAAAAAAGTTCCATAGATTTGCGGCTAAGTGCCGCTGGAGGACCGACCGGGATTCGTAGCTAAGTCCCCCTGAAGTCTATTCGCGGTTTTAGTCCATGCGAACAAGATGGACGCCAACACGTGTTCAAATGTCTAATGGCGGCCGCATAGACTGTTCGGGAGCTCGAAGAACCAATGTGTCACAGTTACAGTGTCAATAGTCACAATTAGGGTCTCTCAGCCAAAACAAATTAAAGGGACCTGTGACGATACCAATCTCGCCACATTGCATTGGAGAAGCCTGGTTGCTCGCCTGTTGCCTTTGGATTATGGCCCCATGTTAAAAGGCTTGATTTTCCCCTGCAAAGACATGAAAGCCGGGTCATTTGGTGCTTGCCCTGTTTGAGCGGTGATACTCCAGACAGCTATGCCATGGAGCCCATTCGTATAATGAAAGACTATGGGAAAGACTTTGGCTCCATGGCAATTGAACTGTATGTGTGTGCTCTGAGCGCCATTCAGTAATAATGTGCACTCAGATCTGAGCTATCTGGGAATATCTTGAATGTACATGTTTTGTGCAATGGCTGCACAGTTATATGTTTTTATGTGTTTTATTGTCTTTTGCTGCCATGTGTTCAATGTAGTTTTGCCTCTGTCTTTGGAGATAATTTGATTACTTCCCAATTATCTCTAGGATAGAAGACTCTGTGGAACTGGTTTTGGGCAGAAAAGCCATGTTTCCTTTGGTCACAAAGGACTTCGATCTATCTTTTGAACCACTGGACCAATTTGGATGATTTTGACGTATGTTTGTATTTGGAGTATGCGGATTCTGAAAATGTATATGTGAATGTGATGCATACTTTGCAAGTTATGAATAATGTGGAAAAATTGTATTTCTCTGCTTGTGCTAATTACATTACCCATTGTGTAAGGTAATTGAATAACAGGCAGAGGGGAGGATTTTGTGTGGGAGTGTCTGAGTGTATTGTATGTGTTTATTGGTTGTGTTCCAAAACCCTGTGGGTGGTACTAATGTGTATATAAGAACAATAAACCCACAGCTCTGTCTGTTCACTGCTTCACCCTCAACACGGAGCTTTGTCTCGTTCTTGGGGGGGATTTATTGTATGCAGTTCCAGTTTGACTACTAGGAGTGTAAACCTATTCGTATGTTTTTTCCTATTCGGCTGTTTACAGCATTCGTATGGTTTCCTGTTCGGCGGATTGGTGTTCTGCAGTAGCTGTGCCTGTGTCTCTGGAAGGAAAGATCTACTAAACGGCGGTTTAACCCTTTTATGCTGAGGGTACCATAACAGGGCCATAGTCACAGGGTAAAAGGCTGGCCAGTAGTCCCCTCCAAGACCCAGTGGTGAAGTTGCTTTCGTCACACATCTTCCCTCCCAGGGGGAGACTAACCAGGTACCTGACGTCCTGTCGGTCAGTACCTGAGTTAGTCAAACAGCCCACCCACAACTAAGTGCTGGACCTGCAGTTCTCAGGTGTCCAGTTTTGTCCTGTCTGTCCCAGGCTTCAGAGGGCTTCTGCCACCCATGATCTCCCTTGTGCTCCCCGGCATGGAGCTGTAGGTAGTTGGTGGGCAGAGGCCACCAGCACTCTGCCCTGGTGCCAGTGCTTCTGCTGGGATTGCCTGCAGGTATTCAGGCCCTGGACAAATGAGCTGTTGTGGAAAGGGGGGACCGACAATCTCCTCTCCTGGTAACTCTTTCCCAATAACACACTCTGCTGCTGGGGAGGAAGGATGACACATTCCTCCCTGTGATGCACACTGCCACTGGGGAGAGAGACCGACTGTCTCTTCTCCCAATAACACCCTCTGCCACTGGGGAGTCAGACCAACTGTCTCGACTCCTGGTGACACTGCCTGGTGCTGAACTGCTTGCTGCTGTTGGGATGAGGGACCGACATTCTCCTCTCCCGGTAACTCATTCTGCCACTGGGGAGAGAGACCGACTGTCTCTTCTCCAAATAACACTCTGCCGCTGGGGAGTCAGACTGACTGTCTCAACTCCCAGTAATGCTGCTTGGTGCTGAAATGCTTGCTGCTGCTGGGATGAGGGACCGACAATCTACTCTCCCAGTAATACTGTCTATCGCTGGGGAGAGAGACCCTCTGCCGCTGGGGAGCCAGACCAACTGTCTCGACTCCTGGTAACGCTGCCTGGTGCTGAACTGCTTGCTGCCGCTGGGGAGAGAGGGTGATATGCTCCTCTCCCTGTAATACACACTGCCACAGGAGAGGGAGAACGACTGTCTCCACTCCCAATAACTTGTCCTGCCGCTGGGGAGGGAGACCGGTTGTCTCCTCTCCCTGGGAAGGTAAGCTGCCGCTGTGGAGAGAGACCGACTGTCTCTTCTCCCAATAACGCACTTTGCCACTGGGGAGAGAGAACGGTTGCCTCCTCTCCCTATGAGATGCACTGCCACTGGGGAGGGAGACAAACCGTCTCCACTCCCGGTAGCTCCGGCTATAGCTGTGGATCTGGGCCGGCTGCCCAGCATCCCTGTAGAGACCTCGGTCTCATCTCCACCTGCCATCTGGAGGTCATCCCAGAGCCAGTCGATGAGGTCCCCCACTTCGGTAACTCATAGGGAAGCAAGGGGTACCTCAGCCAGGTCTTCCCAGCTGTAGAGTGGTAGGTCTGGTTCTGCTTGTCAGGTAGGTTGGGGCTGCACGAAGCTGAGCAGTTGTTGGTAGTCCTGCTCCAGCTCCCACTCCCTTGTTACCAGGTGGGTCATGTCTTTGCTCACCTCACGGTCGTCAGCACAAACATACATGCCTATCCGGTAGTCGTAGATGTACCAAAATCTAGACTCCTCCATGCTGCCGAGATCAATGTCCTCCTCCAAGGCATCCCATATGAACCCAGGGCCATCATAATCATCACCTTTGGGTTAGTCATGCTTGGCCGTCCAGGGCGTATGTTTCTCCAAGACCCAGTGGCGAAGTTGCTTTCGTCACAAGTACTACATAGTAACCTAAATAGGGAGAAAACAACAAAAAAAGAGAAAACACACAAAGCACCAATTGTGGTACATACGTCTTGATCGCTACTATAATGTAATAAAAGAAGAGGAGACAATCTCTCAGGTTGTAACAATAATCAAAATGTCAATAATCACAAAGTCAATGTCAAGGAATTTGCTTAAATAATATAATTACAATTTTTATTACGTGGTTAAAGAACAATAGATCTTTATGTAATCCAGTAATTTAACCATACTTTCCAATATTTACATATCTGACCCTCAGCCCCGATATAATTTCTCCATATATCTTGTGTCTTCTACTTTGTTTACCATTTCTCAAGAGTAGGGTTTGTTTGTTTTTTCCCCAAAACCTAGGTATAAGACTGTTGGCTTCATTCAGAAGCAGATTTAAACATGTTTGCTTAGCTATATCTTTAGGCCATCCTAACAGAATTTGCGATCGAGAAAGGGTATGAGTAATAGGCAGAAATGATTTCATAAAACCCAAAACCTGTGACTAAAACTGTTGTATTATTGAACAATGCCACCATATGTGTTCCAGACTGCCTTCAGTTATATTGCATCTCCAACAGATGTTACTAATATTAGGAAATATTGAATGCAAAGCTAATGATGTGCGATATCATTGTGTAACTCGTTTATAAAAAAGTTCCCTTTTTCTTGACTCTCATGTTGAGGGCATAACTGTCTGAAAAATATAAGTCCAATCCCTCTCTATTAACTGGATATGTAATGACACTGCCCATTTCCTCTGAAAGGGGGCTAGTTCTCCTCCTATGAAGTCCTTTTATTATTAGAGAATATATTTTATAAAGTGGTCGAGCAATTGGTCTTGGAAGATGACAAACTTGCTCAAATGCCACAAGAGGGCATTATTTCCTTCCTAAGGAAGCACATCAATTGTAACTAACTCAGCATATCCCAGAGTGTAGGACATCTAGTGGGGCCAAGAGCAATGCTAAAGTATCCTGCACTAAAAGATTGTTAAGGCATATCTGGGATTTACCGGTCAATTGGAGCATTGATTGATGTCCCTGGCCCTCCTGAAAATCAGGGTTATCTGTAACAGGATATAATGGTGATATACCTGGAGACAACGACCAAATAGACCTATGTTTTCTCCATATTTTGAGCGTGTTTGTAATTAGAGGGTGTGAAGATGGACAAAGCCTATGAATATTAGTAGTCAACCAGGGTATAACATGCAATTGGGTTGTGGCAAAACTAGGTTCAATTGAGTACCAACATTTCTTATATTCTATGTTGGTCAATCTAACCAGTAGTACAGCCACATAGTAGTCCCAGTTCCCACTTATCAGTGCTTCTAGTCAATATATGATAGGCAATTCTTGGGTGTTAACCCCCTTAAATATATGTGATAAAAAGGATTTGAGTTTTACAAAAAATGATTGTAGAACATAAATAGGCAATGTCTAGGGAGAATCATCATTTTTAAAATGTTAATACCACCCGTCAATGAAAAGTAAGGCAGGTTCCATTTGGAAAGGTCTAATTTAATAGCTGCTAAAAGGGGTAAGTCATTCGCTTTTACCAAATTGGATAATAAAGGATTGATGTTTACATCTAAATATTTAAAGAGATATTAGCTATGCCTCTCTGATGATACCTAACAAGGCTGAAATGATCGTCTGGGGTTGCTGTATCTCTCGTGCAGAGGGAACTTGCTGGCATTTCAGATCTGGACTGCCCGTATGGGTGGGACCAGTCTGATATGTTTCAGAGATGTTCACTCTGTAATAGCACAAGATGAGCTAAAATCAGCTTGAGATCTGAGCGGGGACCAAGAGTATTCTCTTGTGCCCTGTTTTCTGCTCATCTAAATATTTAATTCCGTTAGAGGCCAAGTGAAATTGATATTATTGGAGCAATAACTGCTTCAACTTACATGAGACAGACACTCCCATCATTTCATATTTCATGGTGTTGACTTTAAAATTTGAAATAGAGCTTGTGACGAAGTACCCTTCGCCACTTGTGCCTGGAGAGGACTGCATGCCCGCCTCTTGCCCTGTGACTATGGACCCTGGGAGATTTGGCCCGTTCAATTCAGTATGATAGGAGTTATGTAATTTTGTATCCTTTTGTGTTTTACTGGGAACATGTGCTCAATGGAGTCTGCTTCTATCCCTGGATAATTGGATTACTTTCCCCATTGTCTCCAGGCTAGAGGGCTCTGTAAAACCAGTTTGGGCCAGATAGCCATGCTGCCAGCCAGGCCCCAAAAGATACTTTACTAACTTCTGAACCCCTCGTCTGATTCATGCCATTTTTTGATATATTGTTTCCCTGAATGGATTGATTGTGAATATATAATTTTTATGTGAATGTGATGTATATTTTAGAAGTTATGAATGCTGTAAAAACTGTATTATTTCTGGCCAGCAGATAATTGAGCTTTGTGTATTGTAGAAACTCAATTATCTAGCCTAGCCCAGAGGAGGAGTTTTGTGTTGCTTAAATTGTGAGTACTGTGTGCCAGTAAACCAGTCTTGTTCCAGCATTAAGCCTTGGCTCATGTTTGGGGGATTGGAGAAATACACTCTGGGGATTGCTATAATCACTATACTCCCCAGGGTATGATCACTAAGTTCTGCTAAGAGCTTGTTCCTGTTCCTGTTCTCTGGGGAAAGAGAGGTTCACCCACTGCGAGCACTAGGAGCATCGATTGGCGGAGGTACTCAGTCGGAGTGCCAGCGGTCCGTCACAGAGCTGAAATGTTCAATTCAGCCTCCTGATCATTTGATTTTGTCAGATAGCTTTGGGGAAGGTCTCCATAATTTAGGAGAATAATATTGGGGAAAGAGAGCAACCCTGCCTAGTTCCATTTCTTATGCTAAATGAATTATAATTTTGCCCATTAATCCTTATGCTAGCTGTTGGTCCATGATAGAGTTGTCATACCCAATGTTGAAATCTCGTCTGAAGCACCAATGCCTCTAACACAAGGAATAGATAGGACCAGTCCACTCTTTAAAACGCTTTTTCATCATCTATAGCTAAAACGAGTAAGGGCATCTTGGACGTACCTGCTCCATGTATAACATTAAGAAGTTTAGTGGTATTGTCCCAAGCTTCTCTTCACAAAACCAGCTTGAGAGTGGACTAGTCCAGGCAATAGAGTCTTGAGATGGAGTGGCAATATTTTAGCAAACAATTTAAGATTAGAGTTGATTAACAAAATTGGTCTTAAATTCCCACATTGAGTGTGATCCTTGCCCAGTTTAGGAATAAGTGTGACTGAAGCATAAAGCATTGGGGAGTAGGGGGGTAATGTTGAGTCTAATGAACAAGAGTTGAAAGTCTTAAGGAAATGAGGAACTAAAACGTCCATAAATGTATTATAATAACAGGTCGTTAGACCATCAGGCCACAGGCTTTTCCCAATCAGACTTGAGTTCAATGTCTTGGTAAATTCTAAATTAATGAAAGGTTGTTCCAAAATAGTAACTTTGTCTACCGGTATCTTGTGAGTCAGGTTATTTCTGATATAATCAATGACTAGGTCTTGTGATATTGACTTTTGTGGAAGGTTGTAGAGATTCTGGTAGTAAGAGTGAAATGTTTGAGCTGTATGATCTGTAGTAAAATGTGATTGTAACAGGAGCACTCTGTATTCCCAGTGGTTATGGTGTTTCCCCTTTGCTGCAGTGGTTATAGTGCTCTTCCCCCTTTTTGTTGTAATAAAAGACACTTCACCCCTGGATTATGGAGAGAACTAATTGACCATATTTTACCTTGGAACTATAACCCTGGTGACTTATTTGGTCCTAGGACATTATTTCTGCCTGCTGGGACGTTTACCAATACCACTTCGAACTGTCAAAGAAATTCGAAGTGGTACTTCGAACCATCGAACAGCCGAAGTACCGGACCACCGATATTTGGAAGTGTGCTGCTTGTTAACCGCCCAGAAGCTGTGGTAAACCGCAGCCTAATTGACTAATGGCTGGGTGGTCGCCGTTCATATAGCCGAATACGTGGCGGTGGCCATCTTGTTTAATTGAACGAGGTCAGCGGTGTTTTGTCGTTGAGTGCATGGAACTAAAATCATACACTCGACAGCATGAACAACACTAGAACTTCCACCTCCAGCTAACTTCGACTAAATCCATACGAACAGCACGCCGTTCGGTAAAAGTAATCCACCAAAGTACATTTTAATCATTGGAAATAGCCTAAAAAAATAGCCTAAAAAAGAGCGCCTATTTCTCTGGAACTATTTTGGACATGAAAACATGCATGCGGTCGGTCAGTCAAAAGAGACTTCCATAAAATTTCTGAACCCCTGCTCTGATCTGGGTGAATTTTGAATATGTTGTTCACCCAGATCAGGGCTATCAGGGGATGTAATATTTATAAGGTTCCCATATGCTTTTGGGGTGTTTTCAGAAAATGGGTAAAAACTGTATTTTTTGTTCGGAGATAATTGAGTTGATGCAGTAATTAATTCAATTATCTCCTAAACAGAGGGGAGGGTTTGTGTACACTGTATGGAAGTGTCTGCATGTAAGACTCTGTTTTTATTGGCTTGTTAATTCCGTGTCCTGTGCCCCACAAGGCCCACCTGGGCGTCAACCTTGTGGGGAAAAACTGTATAAAAATTCAAGCTGTTCAATAAACCTTCAGTCCTTCTTACCCTCAACTCGCAGCTGCATGGTGTTTATGTTTAAGTGCCTTTGCCAATATTTTACCGCATTTATTTCCATGCGAATAAAAAGTTCCCCTAGTTAATTGTACAAAATGACGGTCTTTAATATTAAGTAGATTTTTAAATTATATTCGGAGTGCGGTTAAACGTTGATAGAGTTCCGCTATCAACCTGAATGTCATATTTTAATTTAGAGTATGTGTGTGTGAATGTAGAGGTGTATATGTGTGTAGTGTTGTGTGTTTTTATGTACTGTTGCAATTTTTAAGTAGTGGCTTTCTTGTGTGTAGTGTGCCTTTGAATTTAGGGGTGTATGTAGTGTTCGCATTTGAGTGCAGAGATGTATAAATATATACACTGACACAAGCACACTGATACACATACGTGCAAACATATAGAGACACACTGACACATCCGGGTACACAGACACACAGATTACACACATACACACACTGACACACATACAGATACAGACATGCAGATACACATACATACTCTGACACACATACAGATACACACAGGCACAGACACATACATTTACTGTATGTGAACATTCATTTTACATTCTACTGCAATTTTTAGCAAACTTCACTACAAGTGATGTATTCAGGGTCCTTACAAATTTAGTAAACTCCACTACGAGTAATGTAAACACGGTCTAAGTAAGGAACTGACCATTTTTATTTGCCAATTATTGTCACCTCTACTGAGAGAAATTTTTGTTTTTATGCTAACATTTCAGACCCTGTGTGAAATATTGTAAGTTAAAGGACATTGTATACTGTCTAAAGCTGTTCATATAACTGTTCTGTTATAAAACAGGATATTACTTTTTAGTTATATTGGGGGACTGGTTATATCCCTTCAGAGAGTATATGATTGCCTAATATATTTGGGCCAATACAAACGATTGTCTGTAAATCTATTCATAAACAGGTCTATGCATATGACACAAGGTTGTTTAAACTGGAAGAAAGAAGATTTATTCTATGGCAAAGGAAAGTAATAACAATAAGGATGTTGAATTATCTGCCTGAAGAGGTGGCTTTATCAGAGTCTGTACAGATGTTTGAACAGAAAGTGGATCAATACTTTCAAAATTAAAATATTCAGGGATATACTTTTTATATTGTGTGGTAATAGTTTCTTGATCCAAGAAGATATTTGACTGCAAGTCTTGGGTCGAATAGGAATTATTTAATGCTTCAAACTGTTTTTTTTTGCCTTCTTTTGGATCAACACCAAAACAGATGTGAAAAAAGCTATACTTGATAGATTCATGTCTCTTCTCAGCTAATCTAACTCTGTAACTTTATATGTATTACACTTTGAATATTTGGTTTAAAAAAATTAAATTTCAAGGAACAAACAAGCAATATTGTATTTCTGGTATTTGAACATTCATCATATAGTAGTACACACATTTCTGTCATAGATTATTTCTGAAAAATTAGTGTGAATTTAGAAATATTATACATTTTAAATGTTGGCTAAGTTATTCAGAGGCTGCTTTGCATTATCCAGACATTTTGTTAATATCTGTATTTTTTGCCGTCTGACCTACTCTGGAAAGTCATGGGTTATTTTGTCCAATCCAAACAAGGGCATTTATAGTTTAATAATAACTCTACACTGAAACATATGCTTTGCAAATATAGTTTTTATTTTCTATATGCACCATTAATAAAATAAACAGATACACAGAGTGAATAACACTATACTGAAGCATATGCTTTGCACAAATAGTTTTTATTTTCTATATGCACTGTTTATAAAATATACAGATAAACAGCGTATGAATAAAAAAATATTTCAACTAATTTAAAGAAAGGCTTTTAAGCAATGTTATAAACATAAACTGTATAAAAGGTCAACCACCGAACGGAATAGCCGCACAGTACTTGAGCTCTCCAACTCACTGTGTGGAATCCACAGCCATCGAGCACACACAGAAACCATGGGACACCCAAAATGGTCCACAGCTTCGTAGAGCAGCACCGGTAAGACAACGGCAGGAAAATCCTGTGCTCTCACTAAATATTTCCGTGATATTTCCGTGGGACCTCCCAGCGACACAAATAGCGGACTGGTACGGCCTCCCCTGCAGGCCCAGCCACGGCCCAAATACCACAGAGGCACAGGGGACAACAGATGGTGAAGAAGAGGTGAACAGTCCCAGAAGATACCCTGCAAGGATCTACTATGAGACCGGAATTGTCTTCTCCCTACTAAGAGACTGTACCAATCCCAATGCTGTATCTACTCTCAGTCGGGACTGCCAGGAAGTGAGGATAGAGACACTTTACCCCGAGATGCAATGGATGATTCAGGAGATATGGGTATGATGGGAATTCCACTCAGACCTCCCGCAGATTAGGGGGTATTATTGTCTTGACTATGTTGGTACCCTACCTTCCTAGATAACTCCTCTTCTAAAGGGCCAATTAGACCAGCCCCCTGGAGGGCCTACATGCACAGCCAGGCCACTGAGACCACAATGCCAAACGACCTAAACCTGGCCATAATGCCAGACCCACAATGCCTGGTCCCGATAAAATCGACAGGCTCACCAAGCATTTTAAATGCACATATGTAAGATTCCCACAGGGCCTGGATAGGCTTCAAGGCTAAATTCCTATAGCACTTAACCTACCTACATTTCGAAAGACAGTACATGCGATTCCCCTAAATAAAAGCCCAGGGCCGGACGGATACACGGCCAAATACTATAAAATCTTCACCGACATACTATCAGGCCCCTTCCTCCAAGCATGCAACACACTCACGGCCATCCACCCCTTACCAGGGGGAGCCCTAGAAGCACACATTACTATACTCCTGAAACAAGGGAAAGATCCCATGGCGTGCGGCAGCTACCGTCCGATATACCTTATCTATGTGGACTTAAAGATATTTACAAAAATCTTAGAGACTAGACTGCGCCCTATACTAAAAGATTTGATCCACCCAGATTAATCAGGCTTTGTCCCGGAAAGAGAAGCAAAGCACAATACCACAAAACTACTAAGCCCTGTCGGTCGATGCCGAAAAGGCTTTTGAATGTGTGGATTGGACCTTTCTAAAACATACCATGAGGTCCCTAGGCTTCGGGCCAAACGCCATATATGCCAACCCAACCGCCAAGCTGAAAATTAATAGCCAACTATCTGACCCGGTAAAATTACCAATTGCACGAGGCAGGGATGCCCCCTGTCACCCCTACTCTTCATCCTCACAATGAAACCCTTTTTACAAGGGAACAGGGAGAATGGGGGCATCAAGGGATTTCAAATCAAACAATAGGAATTTAAAATAGCGGCCTTTGCATATGACCTCTTCACACTGACATCCCTCGCCACATCCCTTAATCCTCTTATGAACGAAATTGACCAATACCACCAAGTATCCAACTTTCAGGTCAATTTCTCTAACAGTGAGATACTGCCGTTACAACTAAACACTCACTCCCTGGAGACACTGAAGGAGCTTTACCAATCGCGTGGGCAACCTCCCACATCACTTACTTAGGGGTACGCCTCACTAGAGACACACAAAAGCTCTTGAACCTGAACTACATCCCACTACTCCAAACAATTAAGTACCTGACGGCGTGGCACAAGACGCAATTTAGCTGACTAGGGAGGATTAACATCTTAAAAATGGCCATCTTCCCGAAGCTCCTATACCTCTTCCAAACTCTCCCCATCCACGTACCCAAATCCTTTTTCACCAGACTCAAACAGGTTTTCCCCAAATTCATATAGACACATAGCCACCCGAGATTCTCATATGATATTCTAACTAGGGCCACAGCTCGTGGAAGACTCAGCATGCCTAACATGTACCAATACTACAAAGCAATTGCACTCACTTTGAATGGACCAACCCTAAACCTCTGCTTCATACGATCCCTTGGCACCTCTCGGGGTCGACCTTTCTAGGCGTAAGTCACCCCACAATTACACATACATTGCGAGAGTGGAAGCAAATAAGGGAATCGGCGGGCCTATCGGTCTACCCATCTCCACTATACCACCGGACCAACAACCCCCTATTTCCCCCAGGACTACGCAACAGGACATATGACTTCATTCACAGACCCCCCATGTCCCAAGGCCTTAAATTAATGGTTGTCCTGGAGGGAGACCACATTAACCCCCTAGCCATGCTGACATCCTCGGGCTCTCCCTCCACCTTACAAGCATACTACTTCCACCAACTTTCACATTTCATCCACACCACTGACAAGCTTTTAATGGGAGGGTGCTCTCTCACCACTTTTGAAACATATTTTGAAACACATACTAAAACATAAACAACTCTCCATAATCTACAAACTACTGCAGGCCAACGACAAACATACTCTACCAAACTTCACACGACACTGGCAACATGAACTCAATACAGCAATCACTGATACAGAGTGGAAGACCATATTCCAAATCTCTCACAAATCATCAATCTCTAGGTGGCACTACTCATGACCAAACTACACAACATATTCTCCAACACGGTCGACAGGTACTGGAGAGATGCCACCCACCTAATGGTACCACAGCCCACATATGATGGCAGTGCCCAAACATTCAAGTATTCTGGAACAGAGTAGTAGACATGATCAAAGCAGTGTCAGGAGTTAACCTGCCACTCACACCCATGGCCTTGCTATTCTTGGTCTGTGCTATCCGCCTCCCCAGACCCAACAGATCCCTACCTACTAACAGCAGCGAATCTATTGATACTGGCTAAATGGTAAAAAAGCCAATCCCCCCCTCCACTAGGGAGTGGATCCAAAAAATAGAATCCATCAGACTGATGGAGGAGATTCACGCATCCCTTTCTCACAAGTATGACCTTTACCTAATCACTTGGAGACCATGGATGCATTTCCTGACCAGCTCCTCAGGGCAAACGTAGGGCTCAACATTCCCACAATTCTGTCTGATGATTGTTAAACTCTGAAAACGATAAGGAATCTGCCAGTTCCTAAGGGACAATGTTTGTTAGCGATTGCGACCCTTTGCTCCAAAGAAATCACTGAAAGACATTGTAACCTTTTGTTAGTTTGTTACCTATTGTAAAAACTTTGTTACTCCTATATCTATGGACGCTACATTGTCAACGTTCATTGTGTTATTGTCATTTAACTGTGCATACTTGAAAATGAATAACAATTAAATAAATACATTTTAAAAAGAATATAAAGAAGTGAGAAAGATGTACCTGGGTTTGTGAAGGTCTGAAACAAGAGTCAAAACCATTTTGTAGAGCATCGAGAAATGGTTGGATCTTATAGAGGCCATTAGTTGTCTGACTGGAACGGAAGGCTACAATATGGAAGTACTTCAGAATTTTCTCAAATCTTGACTGAGTCATTATAAGAGAGATGCTCCTATTACTGTAAAACCCACCACTCCATATACTGAGTACAGATTCACAATGCTGAGTGCTTGTTGATATCATATAGCCCAAAAAGGTCTTTATCTCCTCCAGACTGACATCCATCCATGCATCGTCTCTACCAAATCTTTCCTGAAACTTCTTGGCATACATGTTGGTTTGTTTTACCATACTCTTTATCACATTATCAGGGACAAACAACTGGAAAAAATCCATTACACTGGAACCAGCTGGTATTTTACGAGTAGGTCCTGCAAAGGAAAATATAAAATAATAAAAAAATACTGTCTTAGTCGCACATTTCAATAGAAAACAGCAGGTATTTTAAAAAAAAAAAGTCATATGGTCCAACATTCAATTCACTTCAATATTTTACAACATAAAGTACACTCTTCTTCCGTACTTAAAGCTGTCAGAGTTGTCATTAATGGTAAATTTTCAAACTGGACCAAAGTGGTAACTGGTGTCCCTCAGGGTTCTGTGTTGGGACCGCTTCTATTTAACATATTTATAAATTGTTATGGACAGAAGAATTTAAATAAAATGGCTATTTACTAATGTCTATTTATTCTGTGTTCACTATGTTAAAACTGGCTGCTAGAGTAAATATTCCCTTCCCCCCCTACAATGTGTTCAGTTGCTCTTTCCTCTGTAAATTCCTCATCCTGCTAGCATCCCCTTCCCGTCAGAGCAAGCCTCGTGTAACCAAAATTCCTGTGTTAACAGCTTTCTTTACTAACTCCTCCCCCACTTCCTTTGTGCCAGTTAACAGCTATATGCCACGTGTAACAAAATGGAGAATCACTGTTAAAGTAACTGAAAGAAACTACTCACTCCCCCTCCCATCGTGTATCCAATATAGGTGGGAGAAGTCTGTAATGACGACACTACATCCTGTAGGGGGGTTTAGACAAGACCCCTTAGACTGTTAACCAATTGTTGAATGTATATTGTATGTTTAACTGTGACTCTGTACATGACGTATTTCTGCTTTAAAAGGAACTCCCACTCCAGGGAATAAAGGCATTCCTCAGGTTTTTCACTGATCAGAAACTTTGTCTCCGGTGTGAATTACTTCTAGGGAAAGCGTGCACACATTAATCAATTTGGAAGGAGTAGATAGACAAATAATCAAAGTTTTCTTTGATCCAAAACAATTTTGGCACCCCAGATGGGACTAGAGGGTTATGTTATTCTGCTCAAAGCCGTAAAATCCCAGGACTGGAGAGGAGACCCCCAGAGATTGGAAAAAAAGAGCCTGATCACCTCTGCATATGGTAAATGAGTAACTTACCTATATTTTCCCGGTCTGTACTCTGGGCCTTCACTCTGCTTCCTGTGGTTAACGTCGACAGGTATATAGTATGCCCACATGTCCCCTTTATTTGAATAGAACCTGTCAATTTGTCTATCTACGTCCTGAGTGTGAGTTTTATGTGTGAAAGTGTCTGCTTGAGAATCTGTTTTACTACTTGCTTAATATTGCTATATAATGCTGCCAAGTGTGGTTAAGCGCTGGCATATTTAGCCAAGTTCGGGTTTGGTGGAAAAACCTGGCGTTTCTTTTGATTTAGTAAGACTCGGTTGAGAGTCTGGCGATTATTGAGTTCAGGTGTGCATAATAGCCCCTGGCGTTTTTGGGGGGTTTTTTTTGTCTGATTTATATTAAAATTAGATCGTGGCGGTTCTGTTGTTGTTTTTAAGTTCAGTTTGGAAAAAAAAACCATGGCAATTATTAATATTACTCGGTTCAGAGTTTAAAGGTTTATTTTGTGGTTTTGGCTAGGTTTCGGTGAAGAAACTAGCGAATGTTGTTTTGGCCTCGTTTGGAAAAACAAACCTGGTGATTATTTTGGTTTAATACAACTCGGTTTAGAGTTTAAAGGTTTTTGGTTTAATACAACTCGGTTTAGAGTTTAAAGGTTTATTTGTTTTAGCTAAGTTTATTTGGTAAAGTAAGAACTGGTGCCTTTTCTTTTAGTAAAGCTCGGTGTAGAGTTACAAAGAAAAGAAAAGGAAAAGTTAATGTTTATGTGCTTGAGTGTTTCTGTGTGTGTGATTTGAGTTATTAGCCGACATTTATTTTAAGGACTTTGTGATTTAATTACATCTGTATTTTGTGCTTTTGTCTGTGTATGTCTTGTTGGGTACCATATATGTTAATTGTAATCTATACAATCTGTATCGTCACTCTCCTATTCTATCTTTTGTCCTAAGGAGAGCTGTGCTTAGGCAATCACATGGTTAAAAAACTTTGTGCTTGCAAGTCTTCTTCTCCCCCCACCCCTCCTTCTTGGTTGCTTTCTCTTGCTCTGACTGCTATGAGCATTGGCTACAGGGAGGCATGTAGATTGACCGATGTCAAGACAATGATAAAATAATATATGGAAATAAGCAAGACAGATTAACACAATTAATAAAATTAACAACAAGGAATGATTTTGCAGAAGTGTTGGAAAAACAAAAACCACACATTGATAAGGATATTTTTAGTTTTCTTGTAAAATTTGAAAATGCATATAGACTTGTTGGTAATTTTCCTGAGGATCAGTTAATTAATGAATTTGTGAAAAAATTTCAAAATCTAGATTCAACTGCAATTGTAATTGCTAGAGAAAAAAGTACTTTGAAGGAAGTTGCTTTATTCTTAGATAAAGTAAGGAAATATCCAGACATGAAGGGGTTACACTGACTTGTTAGACGCAGAGAAAGAAGTGCAGATTTCACCCCCTCCTTTCCCCCCTAGGACCCAGTGTGAAAGAGCAATAAAGACGCCTGAGCCACTCCCAATTGCCTCAACGGCAGAATATAACTAAAGTTATTTGTGTTTGGTGCAAATTATTTAAGATCTTGCAGATATTTGATTCTAGAGTTAAAACCAGCACAAGAATAGAGATATGTGTTTGTTTGTTTACTAACTTGTTAGTCTGTACTGTTTTTTATTGTTTTTGTTTGTTTTTTCATTGTTTTTATGTATGTTATATTGGTTGTATGCTATTATACAGTAACTCCAATCATTTTACAGAAGGAAAAAACAATGATTTATTCTTTGTTGCTTCTGAGGTTGATTTAAAATCTTGAGAATGAGATTTTAATTTCATGACTGATAATGGATTACTATATATTGCAACGCCTGGACATACACATGGTTTGGATATACTGAAGACAAAAGGAATAATATATGGGAATGGATAAGGCTGATTTCCCACTATCCACAGCCACGCCTACTCCTAAAGTAACATCGCGTCAATCCTTACTATGCCCTTTTACTGTAGAATTGCCCGAATCCTAATGACCCATTCCACTACATGGTGTGACTTGTTTAAGCCTAAGATAAATTGGCTGATCAGGCTACCTGTATTAACAATGTCATCAACGATGAGTTAGCATCTGTGGAGAAGTATCACTTCAGTGTCCCAAATTTTCTTTTAACTTAAGTTTTAGTACATAATAAGGCCCATGCCCAACAACTATATGCAGCCTTGTATAGCAGGCCACATGACATCTATTTGTACCAAGCAAGGCCCGCCTGACTCCTCATTCCTGTCTAACATTGTTGTCTCCTGGATAAGTGTAGATGGCTCTCCTTGGAGTAGCCTGTTAACTAAGCCTTGCTTTGTGGTTACCTTCACCTGTCCAATTAATCTGCTAGGTGCAGATGTCCTTCCCCCACTTGCAGGCCCCTATCACCTTATTATTTCTTTTGTTCCACAAAAGACCTGACCAAGAGGCAAGGGTCCTAGCTAGTTCCCCCAATACCTTTACCTGAAATATATAGGCCCCGAAGCCTGTCAATGCTCTTACTATTCCCTAACAGATTAAGGCTCTGGTGTCGAATGGTGCCCTGGTTCCCTGAGACTTTCCATGCAATATCCCACCTCTCCTTGTGATGGACGAATTCTGTGCAGGATAGTGTCACCCTGCAGGGATGATACTCTATTTACCTGGCCACTCTTCTGCCACTTCCCAGGGGGGGAAATGATAAGACACTGACTATTATTTTTTTAGCCTTTTCCTCATGATCTGTTCCGGATTTGCTGTCACTACAGTGGACCAAGTATCTCACCTCAACAATGTCTGCACAAGAAGCTGAGCTATAGGCTCCCATCACAGCATGCAAGATCTCTGAAGGAAGAGTGAACTCAGAGGAAGCAGGTGGCAACTCTCTGGCTGACCAAGTTGTTCAAGAAGTTGTAAGCGCACTAAGGGAAGTGGACAGAAAAGTGTCTGCTGAAGAAACTCCCATATTCACCATGTAAGATCCTACCCACAGACATCAAGCTCCTGAAGGAATAACAAGCAGCTACTGACCCTGGAAAGAAAAAAAAACCCCACAAGCTGGAAACAGAAAGGGGCAACCCTTAAAGATAGGCTGTACTTCAACAATGTCAAGTTCTGCTTGCCCAAGAACATATACTCAGCAGTGGTCCAGTGGGCCTACGGAGCATCTGTCCAGAACCCTCATGAACTCTTTTGATCAATAAATACTCTGAAGTATCAGGAATAGCCTCTCTGACCAACAGTTACTGTAAATCTTGTGCCATTTGTGCCAAAAGCAACTCAGGAAGAATGGAGGAGGGCCCCAAGCATCTAGCCAAACCTCATTATCTCTTCCAGAGGAGTCAAGTCGACTACATCCAGAATGCCAAAGAGTGGCTGATTCAAATATGCACTAATTATAGCAGACATGTTTTCAGGATGGCCAGAGGCCTATCCAGCCACCAAAGTGATAACCAAGACCACATGCTGAGTTACAGAGATCACCCCGTGGATTCATCATTCCAGAATCAAGCCTGCCTCTGCATCATGTGAAGTAGCATTTGTTGATCTTGACAACCCTTTTTGAAACTCCATTCTTAGAGAACAAAGATACTTGTTGAAAATAAATAAATATCAACAAGTGGGTGTTTTGATGGCCATAATAATGCCTGACCACCTGCCATTGATGGAAAGCCGAATACCCCAAAAGGGGACCTCGTGAAACTAAAGAGAAACAGACATACTCCTTACCCTGCAGCCCTCAGGTCTGAGGTGCCATACGCACAGTCAAAGCTTCTTCAGGATCATCTGCTTATCTTGAGTTTGTGGTGATATTAATATTGAATGTTTAAATGATCTGAATCTGCCAGTATTAGGGTAGCATGAGACAAGATTTCTAAGATTAAGAATAAGTAAATGTGTCCTAGCCAAGGTTATTATGTCCATACACATAACACATGACAATCCCCAAGGTACTCTTGACACACCTCATT